TATATAACGATTGATAAGAGTAAAAGAAATATTACATTAAAAATAAAAAAATTAAAAAGGGCGCGAAATTAATTAATTCTTATTGTCAAAACAATCAATCATATCGGTATAATGTATCGACACAATATATCGATTTAATATTGTCGATTATTGACTAAATTAAATCACTGAAGTTTAATTTTCTGTCCTAATTAATAAAAGAATAAAAATAAGATATTTCAATTTCAGAATGTTACTTATTTATTTAATGTAAACAACTGATTAACTTCTAAAAAGAACATTGAACTAGAAATCATGAAATGATTTTTTAATAATTCCATAAAATATCGACCGTTTTATATCGTACATACCGATTTCACCACGGTATCCATGTCGTGATCGAAGATCGTATTTCTTCGTGTAGTCGCGTAACGATCCCATTTATTGAAGAAAAAACAAAGATATTTATAGAAACATATTATAATTTACGAAATAATTTTCTCAAAATTGATTATTAAAATAAGATTATGTTACGTTCGTAATAATATGGGCTCCGCCCAACTGCAATGATGCACCATTGACAATTATGATTCCGTACACGGTTCAACTCAATACTCAACCGAACACAACGTACACCGACACAACGTATGTGATTAATCGATCGTCTTATTTCAATTGAACCGATAATTTACACAAACGATGATTCAATAAATTTAATAGTGACTTCAATAATCATCATACACTAATCAACATATTATAACCGTTACGATCAGCATTACGTTCATTTTGTGGCTAACTTGTCACTCTCATGTGCACTACCGCTATGAGTATATTCACTCGTACTTCATTTCCTCCTCTCTCTCTTTCCCACTCCTTTCGAAATGCTCGGTCGGTCGGTCGGTTGATTTATCCGTCGGTAGCTTTATTTATTCATATTAAATATATCTTTTTTATTAATTTATTTATTTTTACGTAAAATATTCTTATTATCTCATTCCAAAATTATGAAACTATCAAATTAAAGTATGACACCTTAATTCCATTACTCAATCTTCCCCTCTCCTTCCTTCATCCCCTCTCTACTAGCTCATTTCTTCTTTCCCGCCCTCACTCATTCACTCACTCACATTCTTTCTCTCTTGCTCATTCGCTCATATGCTCTCTTCCAATTCTCTTATATTCATATACTAGTTCACTCATTCATTGATTTAGTCGCGAATTGCTATACATCTTTTATTTTAGACATATTTAAATGATTTTTTCATCTTTCATTATATTTAATTTTTGTTTCAATGTGATTATCAATTATAAATTAATAAATCATTAATTATGATTAATTAATCAAATTAAACTTCAATAAAAAAAAAATAAATATATATATAAATCTTACCAAACAGATATTCTGCACACAAGTTCCAACATTTCGTATTTCTTGCAAACTTCCCCAGGGACGTGAATTATCCGATTTATCTGAATAGGTTTGGCACAGTGGTCGAACATAATCCATGCTCGTATTAAGATCTTCAAAACTATGCACTAAAGATTTGGAAATACCAGAAAAGACTTTTGGACTAAATTTATCTGGTATACCAATTTCTTTTGATTCTGCTAATCTTGTAAATCCCGATAATTGTTTCGATTTGACTACAGAATCATCAGATATTTCAATGGCATCTTCTAAGCCATGCAACATCGCGTTAGTACAAACGGATACAAGAGAACCAACGGACGAACTAAGCAACCCCTGCTTAACTGTTGAAGCAGATGGCAATGGACAGGTGGGCAAATCCCCCCTCTTTATTCCGTTTTGTGTATCGGAACTCATCTCGGAATTTTCTACCACTTCCGTATTTATTTCATTGCAAAAATCATTAAAAACAACACTTTCACGAGGCAATTTCAAATTATCTTTGTACATGTTTAATTTATTTGCTTCATTCCAACAAGTATTTGATACAGCTCGTACCGTTAATCTTAAATCCACGGCTTCATTATTATATGATCTTGAATAATCACATGTATCCTAAATACATACCATGTTCATTAAAAACAAAGTTTTTTTTAAATCAAAATGAAAAATTTTAAAACAATTAAAAAATAGTTCTTATATATAATTCTATATATATTTATTATATCTATAATTTCATTAAAAATATTTCTTTTTTAAACGATTTTAATGAATTTAATAATATATATATTAATTAAAGTAATTAAATTTTTCTTTTTTTTTATTTAAAATATAAAGTTTTTTTATGAATTTGTTACTTATTATTCTATTGTCTTATTTGTTGCATTAAACAAAATTACATAAATTTTAACATATATTTAATGAATAATTAAAATATAAAATATTAAGATATAAAAAATCTTATAATCTGTTCCATATATTAAATTAACTACAATTAACATTATAATCAACATACCCTATATTCTGAAGTTGGACATCTTCTTTGGGAAACATTTTGAATAATATTTTTATCAGAACGGCTTGTACAATCATCTTTATAACCAATTCCAGAATCACTATTACTTGAATGAGCTGTTGATGTACTTATATTGCTCGGTTGTGGAGAAGCTGTTTCTTGATGTCTTCGCATTTCATTATATGGATTTGTATCAGTAGCTGCAGAATCTGATATGTATAGAGTTTGTATAGCACCTATTAGACCATTGCAACTATCTGGAAATTCCTGACATACATTTAATTCAGAAGTTTTGGTACATGTAAATCCAAATATATTGCATACACTAGAATGTACTACATGGTCAATTAATTTATAATAAATTGTAAAAACATGACAAGAATTTGAAACAATATTTTCTTTATCTTTAACAGATTTAGTTAATATGCCAAAATATTGTTTGTCCTGTTCAGAAAAGGAATTACAAAATATTATTCTATAGGATGGATATTCTGCTATAATACGATTTTCTGAATTAGTGAGCTTTATATTTGCTACATGTATTGTTAACAATACCGTAGTTGGATTTCTTTTTTCAGCTTTCAACCGTTTGATACATTTTCTCAATACCTGGAGAAATAAATAAAAATTAATAAAATCATATGTAAATTAATTGTTTCACATAAATTTAAAAAGTAATTTATTACAATAATAATATTATCAAAATTACCTGCATCATACACGATGGATGTAATTGATTTGGAATGTCTATAGTACCAAGATAACCAACAACTGTTCTATGTACTATTTTCTCAGAATCTCTTTTATGAGATGTTGGTGGTGGTGGAGGTGGAAGAGGACTAGACATATCCCAATGATAATGTAAATTACAATAATTTCCATGATTTTGCAATTCAGGTGGTGTTTTTCCAGCTACATCAAACATAGCACCACTTTGTAAGTCTCGTACGACTTTAGCAACTCTACATTGTAATTGTAATGCTCCAATGTTACTTGCACGAGGTTTATGAATATATTTAGGTTTGCAGCGTATTGCCGTTAATCCTTCTTCATCCGAAGAATCAGAATAATAATTTTCAGCTATTTGTAATCTTAAAATACCCTTAGAACGACCAATTAATTGTACAACATCATCATGTGGTAATTTACTAACATTGTGACCATTTACAGATACTAAATAATCGCCGGCTCGTAATCCAGCAATATCTGCAGGACTCCCTGGAACGATGCAACTCAATATGCAGGGTTGTTGTCCCGAGATCGTAAAACCAAATCCTTTCATTCCACGTAACACCTCCACTGCTCTTACACCGTAGTTCACTCGCTTTTTCTTCTTTCTATTTTGATGCATTCTTATATTTTCTTTTCATCAATTAACATAAAAATTTCAATCAGTTGTTCAAAATTGCCAATCAGATTATCATTGATTTAATACTTTCACGATCCAAAAAAACTTCTGAATCATCTTTACTTAAATTCTATTTTCATCACCTATTCTATTTCTTTCAATTTTTTCGAAAGAAAAATAAATATATCAAAATATAATAATTTATATATCACACGATTAACCGAACTAATCATCGATAATCAATTCCCATTTCAAATTGGTTCTTGACCGTTTATACTGTGATTCGTGACGGCGTTCTTTCTGCGCTCTTGTACCTCTTTCTCTTACACTATATTACTGTATCACTAAAACTCAATTTTTCATTCATTTTTTTTTTAATTTTTATATACATTTTTAGAATTTATACACATTAAAATGCACAATAGTATTTATCTTATTTTTTTAAACTTCTGAATAATGAATAAGATGTTTTGATAATCTCGTCATTCTTTTTCTTTTACTTCTATCCTTTCACTCCCTCCACTTTCTTTCTTTCATTTACATCATTGTTTGTACCTATATATCCATCGATTCATACACTTCCGGTACACAAATACATATTATACTAGAAATTTCATAATGAAAATTTTTTTTTTTCACATTGAATACATTTTCATATGAAAGAACTATTATTGATGTTATGATAATTGATATAATGATTGTTATTATTTATATAATTTCTTTTTTCGATAACAAATAAATATATAATAAAAATTATTAAAAATTCTTTATTATTTATCTTAGTTTTAATAAATTCAATTTTAATTCATATTATATTCCATTTATCTATACAATACTTTTTACTTTTTAAATATAAAGTAAATAATAATAGAAATTAATTTAATTATATGATAGATATCAATTTAAAAATTTATTTTATTCAATACCATTAGAAATATTATAAAAATTTATGTTTATTTTAAATATTATTTCAAATATTTTTATTTTTTTAAATATATTAGAATTTAATAAATATATAACTAATGCAATATATTTTGATCTTTATTTATTAAACAAAATATTTTTATTGTATAATTATTATAATTTTGCTTTTAATTGAATGTAAAATATAGATATTATAAAAAAAAAATGTATAAATCTATTAAAAAAAAAAAAAGAAAAAGTAATCTTCACATTTCAAATCATTTCGTTGCATTGTAATATTGTATGTATTACTATGTATACAATATTTACATAAATATATACAAATTTTGTGATAAATGTTTAAAGTGATAAATATTTTAGTAATTGACATCGTTCTAAATTATAAAATATTTTATTCTTACTCATTCATTCTTTATTTTAAATATTAATATATTATTGTTGAAAGGTTTAAAAGTGATAATAGAGGTTAAGTTATTGAATAATTTTCAATATTATTGAAAAATTTTATTATACTATGGAATCGAATGAAATTACTTGGAAATTAGTACCAAATACAGTTGCAAGTAGAATGATAGATTTTTCTTTAATACACAAGCTAGTACCATCTAGAAAAATACGTCAAAGAAATAAAGCTATGAATATTGCAATTAAACAGTTTCAGAGTTTAAAATCATATAGTCAATATATTAAAATGAAAACTTCAATTCTTCGAAATTTGTCAGATGATAGTGAAACTGATGATAATGTAAGTTTTACAGAAGATGATTATAGTATTTTATATAAATCTGATCTAAGTTTAACAGACTACATAATGCAAATGTCTAACAAAAATGAAAAGTATACTTATGAGTCAGAATTTGAGACTAATAAAGATAATATTGTTTCTAATTCAAAAACTAAGAAAACATATGTAGAAAAACGCAAAAGAAAATCATCAGAAACTATAAATTTAGGTTGGCAAAAAATTATTAAAAAAAGAATTAAAGATTCTTCTTTTGAAACAAAAAAGACAAATATAAATGATTTAATATCTTCTAATGTAACTTCTTCTCTTATAAATGCTAACACACAAGATAATTTCAAGATTGATGCAAACTGTTCTAAGGAAAGTATTTTAAATCTATCAAATGAAATGTCAATAAATAATGAAATTTATACTGCAGAAAAAATTAAAGATAAATGTTCCAGAGTTCCAGATTCAAATAAAGTAAAACATGATACAATTGTAGTACATGAAACAATAAGCAAAAATAATGAGTTAGAAGTATCAAATCTTATGATGAATAATATTGATGAAAAATTTCATTCAAATGAAAATTATTCTTATAAATTATTTGATGATTCTAATACAGAAACAGTAAAAGAAATCAAGAAAGAAATGGCATCATTATCAGATCATATTAATGAAAATCAAAATCCTAATGATTCTTGTATAAATAAAAATATACTTTTGATTCAAAATAATTGTAATCAATCAGAGAAAAATTTAATTAGAAAAGAATTGAAAGATCAACTTTTAATTATAGGCAATACATATCAACCAAAGGATTCAGGTATTGAAGAAGATTCAGAGGAAGAAATTTCAGATCATAAAAAAAAACATTATAAAAAAGTTAAAAACACAATTCAAAATACAGAACAAAATATATCAACTACTACTTCTCCACAACCCACAATAAATTATAAAAATAATATGATAGATTGTGATAACAATTCTGAAAGGCACATGCTAAATAAATCAGATATTAAAGATATAATATTACATGTAGATAAAAATATAAATGAAATAGAATATAAGAAAAAGATAGAAAAGCATAAAGTACAACCCAAAGTTACTCATACAGAAATTGTTAATAGGAAGTATAAAATAATATGCGATACATCTGCATTTGATAATCATAGTGAATCAGAAGAATTAGATTTTCATGATGAAAATTATGAAATACAGGAAGCACAACAAATAATGGAAGATAGTATTTCTTCTAATAAACGATTGCAACAATTAAGAAGATTAAATTTAACTATAGATAGTAACTCTAGTCTTAGTGATAATGATGATACATATTGTAATGTTGAGAATATGAGAAATAAGCTATTCGAACGATCTAAAGAATCAGTAGATACATTAAATAGTGAAGATGAAGATATAAATTCCAAACATGAAATTTCAATGAAATTTGATGAAAAATTACAAAATAATGATAAATATATTCAACATAAATCAAATTCATTAAATAATGCAATAAGTCATAATTTTAACAAAAAACAAAATGTGAGAAAATTAAATAAAAAGAATTTAAAAATAAAGTGTACAGTACAATCAGAAAATGCACAATCATCAATATGTGATAGACCATGCAATGTATAAATAAGAATTTTGTTATTGTTTTTTGTTTAAGCACTACTACTTTTATTTTACATATTTTATTTTTTTCATTTCTTCAGTTACAGGAATTAATAGAAAAAGAAAGTTTAGTACTTGAAACAACAATACCTTCTTTTACCCTTAAGGACATAGAAGAGGATGATGTTTTTATTATTGACATTCCTTCTACGGTATAATACACATAAATTGTATTGATATAGAAAAAATTCAAGAATATAATATTTCATTTTATTTCTACTGTATATAGGTACTTGAAAGTGAATTAATAGGAAATAAAATAGTTTTGACAGACAAAAAATTAAAACTTGGAAAAAAAAAATACAAAGTTGAATGTAAAAGTATAGATAATACATCTTGGGTTTTTGCTAGTGGAAAAGTTCACAAACCCTACAAAATAGGTATATATTTAATACATTATATATTTTCTTATTATTATATTTAGATAATTTCTTATATATACATATATAAATTAATATTATTTAAAAAATATTTTTTGTTTTTAGTAAATATTAAACCAATGATAAGAGCAGTAACAGGAGAAAAAATTACATAAAACTCATTTGTCCAAATTAAGCAAAATTTGTTAAGCAAAATATCAAAAAATGTTCACTTATCTAATATACAAAATATTTAAATAATGAAAATGTAATGATAATGTAAGTAATTTGTGCAATTAATTTAGAAATTTATCTATTTATATTTTTATAAGAATAATTTATATCATAATTTTGCATAATTTTTCAATAATGATAATTTTAAAAATAATTTTAAAAATTTATGATTAAATACAATATTGTTGATTTATTTATAAATGTAACGATTTCGTAATTTTGATCTAAATATGTAATAATCTTAATATGTTTTAATAAACCAGTATATTTTTATATATATTAAAGAAACACAAAAATTTTGAAATATTTTATATGTTAGTATTAAGTATTGAAAATATATTACGCATAATTCCAATGTTAACATTTTTATTAAATTTTATAAATGAAGCTATATTTTAAATTTATGAAGTTTCCATGGCAGCAGTTGAATCTTCAGTATATTTGCCCTTATCCTTGCCTAATGCAGCAAGCCTACCTTTACTTCTTCTGTCAATAATTTTCTTACGATCTTTATCCATTTTTAATTTTACAATGACTGTCTGTAAAGCAAACAAAATTTAAATTGTAAAAAAAAACAAATATTTTTATTAATAAAAATAAAGTAAAATCATAAAATCAGTGCCAATTTTTCTGCAGTAAAAAAGCTAAGCAAGTCAAATTCATAAATATAAAGGAGAACCCTTTTATATTAATGTAAGTGACAAACATTATGCTATTTATCTATGTGAATGGTTTAATTCATCATTTATCAAAATTAGATAATATATAGTAAAATATAATAAAAAAAATGGCTATTTTTTTACCTTAGAGGGATCAATACCAACATACACATTAGCAGTATTAATTTTTTCACGTTGAATTCTTTCTATGTATATGACGAATTTTTTCCTGTATACTTGAACAACTTTGCCAACTTGTTGTCCTTTATAATGTCCACGCACAACCTGTTGAAAACAATTATAAATATTTAATAAATTAATCATCAATTATTAATATAATTGTTTTTTTTAATTTTTAAATAATTCATAACATACTTAATATCCTACCTGAACTTCATCATCTTTGCGAATTGGCATAGAACGAACATTATATTTCTGCCGAAGTTCTTTCGACAGAGGAGCCGACATAAGTCTTCTTCGAATATGAGACGGTGCTGTAAAATGCCTCTTTCGGTTTTTTCGGCGCGAAGAAGAAACAAGTCGATTAAATTTCATGGTTATTGGTTACCTGCATATATAAAATATTAATAGATATAACTTTGAATTAATTCTAATAAAATGAAATTTAATAATTCACAGCAAAATTATGCGTTGCATTTAATAGTTTAATAACATTAAATTTTTGTTATTGTATATTTATTTATATATACAAATATAATAGGTTAGAATAACTGTCATTAAAAATATAATTATTATCGATATCTTATAAAATTATTAATAATCACATTTATAATTTAAAATTAACACAATTTTCATGCAAAATCTTTATTGAAATTATTTATTTAATTCCGATTGAAATCGATTTAAATTTTAACAAACTTACCGTCAATGATTCTATCGCGTAACTCTAACCGGAAGAGCGTTTACTTTTATGATGCCTGAAAGCGAAACAAATTTACCTAGTCTAGTAACTTTATAATTCACTAAATTATTCGGATTAGTTATCAATTTTAATCCGAATTTTTATGATATAATATTATAATATATAATATTATAGCGAATTCGTATTGATTAAAAATTTTAATAATATTACAAAATATATTTTATATTTGAATAGATGCATGTGTATAATAAATTAAATTTAAATATATACAAAAATAATGTATATAATCTTTCTTTATAATTGCGTCCTTATATCAAAATATAATTTTTTTTTATTTCCCTTATATTAATCTAGTTCTTTTTTATTTTTCTATAAATAGAAATTTTTCGCCATTAAGAAGCTTATTCTTTTGACATATAACGCAGATGAATATGATGTGAGTTTATGCCATTTATATTAATCCATAGATAGTTGTATTGTTTTACAATTACAGTATCACCATTTTCAAGATCTTATGAAAATATATTTTATAATTGAATAGATACATGTGTATAATAAATTAAATTTAAATATATACAAAAATAATGTGTAATCTTTCTTTATAATTGCAATTCCTTATATCAAAATATAATTTTTCTTTATTTCCCCTATATTAGTCTAGTTCTTTTTTATTTTTCTACAAATAGAAATTTTTCGCCATTAAGAAGCTTATTCTTTTGACATATAACGCAGATGAATATGATGTGAGTTTATGCCATCTATATTAATCCATAGGTAGTTGTATTGTTTTACAATTACAGTATCACCATTTTCAAGATCTTATGAAAATATTGCCGTTATGGGGCTACTAATTGTACAACGACATTCGATACATCATACAAAGCAAGTAAGTAAATAATTGATCAACAAAATTTTTGTTTATTGAATGGAATATGTTTGTTTACATTATAATTATTAATAATTTTTAAAACAGTAGTAAAAGTACTATCAGTAGATTTTAAAATATATTTTTTTTGTTTCGTACAAATTATTTTTATTATAAATTTTGTTATTTCTTCTTTTGTTTTTTGATATTGGTTTGATTATTTATTTATTTTTACTTTTTCTATTTTTTTTTTAAGTGATTTGGTTTTATGTTGACAATTTAATAAACGAGTAAAATTTACGGAAAAAATACAAGTTTTATATTATCCTAAAATTAAATTTATATTATATTAAATTAAATTCATCAATGATTTTAAAAATTCTAAAAATTATGACATTGACTAATGAATGCTAAAGAATATATCGATAAAACAATAAATTGCAGTGTTGATTTCGTAAATAAATAAAATATATTAATTATAAATTAGATATAAGTTAAACAAATTTCTGGCTGCTTTCAAACAGTCGATAATACAAAAATCAAATCGGTTCTATCAAAATTATTTGTTTATAATATCTGACTCAGCATTCGCCATTTGTTGTTCATCGAACGGATGGATTGTAAACGAAGCCAAAATGGCTTCAGCATATTAGTAATCTTTATGTATTTTTAAATATGCATAACTTTTGATACAATGATTTTTTAGATTTAAGTTCTATATTTTTGGATTCTATTCATTAAATTACTATCAAGTGATAAATAAATAAAATAATTTTTTATCCAATATAAAAAATATGAATAAATGCAATAAAAATATATTTGTACGAAAGAAACAGAGAGAAAGAGAGAGAGAGAGAAAGAGAAAGAGAGCACGAAAACATACACATTATATAATATATATATGATGAAAGCTTTGCAATTTAATCACAAAAATATAGATTCAGTAAAAAATAAAGACAAAAGAATAATAAAGAAACATTGATCAAGATATAATTTCTTTACAATTTTTCTTCAAATTTGTTGATCAAACATATCCGTTCAAACAGCCGAAATTAAATAAAATTAAAAAAATTAAATAATATAAATATTTTTCTTCTATTAAATATTAAATCTTTTTATTAAATAATATAAAATTTTTTCTTTTCATATTTTTCTTTTCATATTTTTCTTTTCCCAAAATGATTTTTATATTAAATGTAAAATATGTTTTTTTTGCAATTTATTTAAATAATATATTTCTAAAATAAAAAAATATTTAATAAAATTATAAACTTTATATTATTATTATATATAATTATTTAATTATGTATAATTAAGTACATGCAGATCTATCATCTTATTTGTGTTTTAGGTCTGTAGAACAACGTGTAGATCAATCTCCTAGAAATCAATATATTTTAGTGAAAACTTATAAAAAATTGTAAATTTTGGTATTTTTTGAATCCGACATTTCAAAGTGTGATCTAGCAAAAAAAAAAAATATAATATATTAGTATTTGGAAATAAAGTACTTTTTATTATATTAAATTTGAAAAAAAAAAAAAAAGAAAATTGGATTGCAAAATGGGTTCCACAAGACAAGATAGATCACTTAGCAGTGGAATATCTTTGCCACAGTGGATGAAAGGAAGAACCGATAGCAGGTATGTTTTTTTTTAATTTCTTTTGAGAGAAGCATCTTAATGTTAAACTTCGACTTGTACTAAGTTGCAGGCTCATGATGCTTTAACATTATTCTTTGCTGAATAAGTAGAAGAGATTTAAACCAACGGTAAGAGGCAATTTTTTTAATTGCCCGCAAAATATTTCTGAGAATTTATAACATTATATATAATATAATGTTATGAATATAAAAGATGAATTTAAATCATTTCATAAGATTTAATTTTGAATATTTGCAAATTAATTGTCTAAAATATAAAATAAAATTTAAATTTATATTATTTAAAACTTTAGTATTAAATATATATTTTGCAAGCAAAAAAAAAAATATATGTGATATTTGGCCAATACGTAATATAACGCGAATAAGCAGTTGATCGCATGGGCATTGTGCTATTCTTAGACTTATGACACTCTTCACGAGAGAAGTACGGCCTCGTGCAGTTTGTGTGCTGCGCATAGCGTTTTATTCTTTCATTTTTCGATATTATTTCTTTTAATGTTGTTTTACGTCAAAAATTCGGATTAAGTATCTTTCCATGTACGGCATGATTACATATAGTTTTTAATTAATGAAGTACTCATGTAAGATTATATCTTTGATATTTACGCGTTACTATAGAATTTAAAAATTTATAAATAATTATCTAATATTTTAAAAAGTGGAATTTATGAACAAGAATAAAAATATTTCACAATTGAAAGAATTTTCTAAGAATGTGAGTCGAAGAAATGTGATAAAAGTTGGATCTTTTTATCAAGTAGCTTAGCCTTGTTTTTTTCATCAATCCTATTTTGTAAAATGTGAAATTATAGCTTTTCGCATTTTTTTTTTTATGCAGATTCGACTTTGACGAGACTACATTTAGTCCTCCATCTCACGACGACAGCTTCTTTTATATACGGTATCCAAAGACACAAAATCGATTATCGGTTTCGCAAGATTTTCGGCCAATTGATGAAGTTTTTAATGAACAAAATATTACTCCATCAACAAATAATATAAAAGCACAAGATACGCAGCAACAGGTTATTGAAGAGAAGAAAAAAAATCAAGAGATTGATTTTAGCAAGCATCCTTTACCTTGTCAACCATTTATACCAACAACAAATAAAGGTATTAATATTAATTATTATATATGTTTTTTTGCACGATTCGTAATTATATAAATGACAAAAAAGTGAATTTTCTGAATATTGTAAAGAATAATGAAATATAAGAAATGTTGTTTCATATTTTATGTATTATATAATTAGTGTTTTATAATTTTTCATTCTAGGCAATGAAACTAAACCAAATCTAAAAACATCAACCAACAATACGAAAATTACAAAGTCACAAGGAATAGATGATGGATTTCATGGTGAACCAGCACTTTGTGGAAAGTCGATTGTTCTTGTAGCCAGTCAGATAATGTCTAACAAACTTCACGAAAATTTCTCAGCCGAACAGGCTGACAAACAATGTAAAAAAGGAAGTAAATCTTTACCAGCTACTCCACTCGCTTCGCCCGCAAGCAGTCCAAATAGTTCTCCGAAAACTCGTCGACGTGTTCCTTCTAATCGGTATTTTACTAGTCCATTTCTTCTTGATCGTGAAAAATATCAAGGAAGTTGGATCTTATCAAGCATCTTCGGACAATCTAGGGAAATTGTTACTGGTAAAATTGACGAAGAGGACGAAACAGATGTTTCAGCTCCTTCACTTAAAGCATTTGCTCGAAAAAAATCTATTTCGTCGCAAAATCTCACATATGTCGGAAGTGATGAAAAACCAGTTGAAAAACCAGCTTTCTCAAATGTATTTCAAGCAAAACCATCAGAATTAAGAGAGATGAATTTTTGGTCCCCGACATCAATGTGAACCAATATATAATATAATATCTTTAATTCTATTTATATGCGTATTATTATTACGTTTTGAGTTTAATTAATTAATCATTATAATTTATCATTAGTAGTTAATTTGGAGGTAAGAATTTATTTAAGAACACGATAAAAAATTGTGCACGATATTATCCATCTATTAAATTTTCTAAAATTAACGAATGCGTTGATAAAACGGAAGAAGAAAAAAAAAAGAAAATGCAACTTTTTACATTCATTATCCCTTTCATATATCCTTAATAATGTGCTTATTTCATAGTTAGATATAATATATTTATGCTGATTTTTTCTTTCTTTTTTGCGCTTTTAATTATTATTGTTGTTAAACAAGAAAATTATTTATATAGTAAACGATTTTTATGAAGAACTATAATTATAATACATTAATATTTAGAAATGAAAAGAGAAATATTCTCGTGCTGCAAACGAGTAGATATCCTGAACGGTACAACAAATGATGAAGACATGCTGTGAAGACAAAACATAAAAATTATTTTTTATGAAAACTATTGTATACGGTCTTTAATTATTTGAAATATTATTTAATTTTTAATTCTTAGAAAAAATAAAAAAGTGAAAAAGAAAAAACTGATATATATGTATATATATATATATATATATATATATATATATACAGTTTTTTCTTTTTATATATATATATATATCATATATGTATGTTTGTATATTATTTTTTATATTTATAAAAAAAAAATTATCGTTCAAAAACCATCATTTAAAAAAATTGATCAAATTAAATTGCAAATAGCAAATAATAATGCGCGATATACGTGAATATTTTAAAAATTATGGTATAATTAAGTGAATATATTTATGAATCATGATCGTTTAGATTTGTGTAAAAATATTTTTATTATTAATTACATTTAAGAATCTTAAATCGATTTTAATTTAAGAAGCTATAATATTAATTAACTTATTATAATAACGCGTTATATAATGGAGTTACTAATAATTTTGGCATATTTTTTCCGACATTCCTACAATTATATTATAAAATAGAATCGTTAAATGATTCTACTTTACGTACAATCAAATTTATATGTATAACGGGTATAATGATTATAGAAATTATTTAGAATGTTATTCTAATACAACCAATCAACGAATTATAAGTTTGTGCTATTAATAAGATATTATTCAGAATAAAATGTAGAAACATATCGATGTATTATATTTTATTTTATAGAGAAATAATAAATAAATGAAACCTGTTATATCGAAAAATTTTTAATAATGCGAACGGATGAATCTGTTGAAACGATTAATTATCTATATGTTTCCTTAGTATCTTATATGTATATTATTACGTTTATGTTTGATAAAAATACACGATATTCACAGATTCAATATAATTTATCATTAATCTATCAGAAATTTTAAACAAAAGGAATAATAATTTAATAATTTCTAAAGAAATCTTTAAAGAAACAAAAATGAAGAAAGCATTTTGATACGTTAGCTTACAGCAATTATAACATATGTACGCTCCTTTGCCTCCGGCATGCTTATGAAATCTTAGTTCTTGGCCATGTTCTTACTGTTACACTTTGCCAATGTCAATTGCATAATAACTGTAACCAACAAAGATAGTCCGATTACGTTCCCGTTCACTTGGTAACTTACTTTATATTCATTCTTTCCCATTCTCATTGGTTTCTTTCTCCCCCTCCCCCTCGTCCCCCTCCCCACTCCATCTTTCTTTGTTATTTTTGATTATTTAAAAGTAGATTAAATAAGTTTTTTCTAATTTTCTCAAATTATTATTTGCAAACAAATACGACTTTATAATTTCAAAACAATTTATTTACATACTTATGTCGATCCATGAATCAATGATTATTTTAAAATTTACAAAATTTTTTCAAGAATTTATTAATATTTTATTACTTTATATATCTTTGTAAATATATATATATCTATCAAACGTATGTTTCTACAATTCTTTACATGATGGCTGTAACTGTAATTCTATAGTATATCTGAATATCGGTTGCAATATGAGATACACCGATATTGAGTAATTGCAGAGTATCTATCTGTTTCTTTTACTTTTCAATCGTATACATTTACACGTTGATGTTGTAATATACATTTAAACGTGATACAAAATTGAGTCTATTTTTACATATGTTTGATCATCTTTTGGTTCCATTATCGTTCATTCTTCATCCGATATCGTTTTGCTTTTTGAATTTCATTTTTTTTTCACGTCCTTTAAACAAAATGAACATTTTCTTTCGAGAAAACCAGAGTGCTCAACTGCCAGCAAACAACCGCAAATCACCAAAAACTGAAAAAAAAGAAAAATTTTTTTTTTTAAAAACACGACCAACCTGTTAATAAATTTTTGCGATATCAAATTTGTTCTAGCTACATATATATATGTGATGCAATGTCGGCTCGTTATAAGTTTTCTATGCAATATACCTGTCTTTGGTCGACACTTGATACGAAGTTTTCGGAGAAAAAATGGTTCAAGTTAACTATCTAACTTACAAGAGCTTGCGTATAAATAGACTGACAGATTTATTAGATGCATTCAATTCGTTTGTTGCTTCCAAACGGTGAAGAAAGCAGGCGCTACCTATCGTCATCATGTTTAGAGTAAGTAAAAATGTAAATAAGATATTTAATTACTTATCACGATTGAGATCGAAACGAAAGCTTCTCCGTTAAATAAAATCATTATCGGTGATCGTTATTGCGAAAAAGAATGAGGGGATGTTAAAATGGAGGGAAGGGGGGAGGGAGAAGGGAAAGCGGACAAAGAGAGAACGTTGAAAGAAATAAAAAAAAATTTTTCTTTTTTTTCAGTTTTTGGTGATTTGCGGTTGCTTGCTGGCAGTTGGGCAAGCTGGCGTAATTGGAGGCAGTTTGCTCGCAGCCGCGCCTGCAGCGGTTGCAGTACAGCCAGCAGCAGCAGCAGCAACCCTTCCACTGTCTACAGCCACGCTCGCGGTACCAACTATCGCAACGTCCACCTCTAATGTGATACGGGGTATCGGTAATTTAGGTGCCATATCGGCCTATGCGAAGAGCATAGATACGCCGTTCAGTAGCGTCAGCAAAGCGGACGTACGCGTTAACAATCCTGGAATCGTGACGGCGACTGCTGTACCCGCCCCGGTAGTTGCGGTCGCAAATACCGCTATTGCAGGTACCTGATTAGAGCGGGGTGCCAATTTATAATTTTTAATATTATATAATTTATATATATATAATATATATATAATATATATATATATATATCGTTATACAGCGATATGTTGCCTCATGTCACATCTTTACATCATTTTTTTTTTATTCGTAATATTTCTAATCGAATGTCACATAATGAATCGAATCGATAACGTCATGAATACATTTTCTTCATGCATTAGTATCGATAATTCGTTAGTCCGCTTTTCTCACGTTCCATTTTCTACTATATCAGTTGTTGCTTCAATCCTTTACTCATTTCATCTTTTCAATTCTTTTTTTTTTTTTTTCATTTCTTTCTTATTATCGTTAAACATACTATGCTTTAACGTATGAATAATATCGTTTTGTACATATTTCGTGCGTACAGCTAATCTTAACGAACAGACAATATAAAAGCTTAAGTTTAAATTGGACTGTGTAATAATTGTTTCTTAGGGAAATAACTAGTGATGATTTTTTTTTTTTTTTTTTAATTTTGATTTAATTGTAAAATTCAATTTATTACAAGCGTATTTTGCAAATTTTTGATTTTTAGCTCCAGTGGCTACAGCTGCTGTTGCTGCTCCTACAACTCTTCTTACACCTGGATTGACAACCGCAATCGCAGCTGCACCCGCTGCTATCACTACTGGTTTAGCGGCTGCCCCTCTAGGACTTAATGGTATAGCCTTGAATGGGATAGGAGCCGTCAAGGTCCTCTAAGAAGGTCTACGCTTGAATTTGTATTACAGAACGATAATTCGATTAAAACTTGATGTTTTACCATTATCGACCATGAGATGCATTCGAACATTTGTATCGAATCGGAATCGTCGTTACAATTCAAACAATCTTCTTTGTCACAGAATGTAATAATCGATTATTCAATAAATGTACAATCGTTATTCTATACTAAGTCTACTGAATCGATATTTTCATTTTATCAATTGTTTTTGAATATTTTATTTATTTAATAATAATAATAATAATAATCGATTCTTTGATATTAGCAGCATTTGGAATTTAGGATGTTTGAAAAGAAGGAAACAAAAATAAGATTATTTATACACTTCAATGTGTATTGTATTTAATAAATAAAAATTGATATATACCAAATACGTATAAATCATAATGATAAGTAGAATCGAATTGTCATATTTTGTCAAAAAATTGGCATTAGTGGTCTAAGAAATTCGGGAGAATGAACTGTTACCATGCGTAAGAGACACCGATGGGACTGGTATAGGCCATGTGTGAAACAGCTACTGCCGGGGAGTAAGCGACACCAAGAAGTGTGCTTGGTTGAGCAGCAGCAGCTAATGGTGTTGCCAGGGGTGCTGCATGTGTTGCAGCGTATGCTACTGGAGCAGCATGTGCATAAATCGCTGGATTTGTTACACGAATATCAGATTTGCTAGTGCTAGAAAATGGTGTGGAAATTGTTTTTGACTGAGTCGCAATTTGTGCTAAATTTCCTGTGCTACGAAGTATATTGTCAGATGTTGATGTTAAAGCCGCAGTTGTCAAAGAATATTGTCCAGTTGCTTCTGGTAGTAATACTCCTCCATTGCACATTGCCAGAGCACAAGCGAGTACTATGATCTGAGAAAAAGAAACGAAACTATTATATTTATGATTATTATAATTTCATACAATTTTTTTTCTCTATTTTCTTTTCTTATTTTTAAATGTATATATGATACACATATATTTTATTTATTTCATAATATATGTATATACATTTTACAGAAACATAAATTAAGATTCAACATTATTTTTAAAATTAGTATATATAAATATACTATATTCACTTATTAAATTATTTTACATCGCTTACCTTCGAGAACATTGTGAGTCAGGTAGATTTTGATCGATTCTTCAACAATGTATGAAAGCAAATGTGTGCTGATCCTTTCGTAGCCGAAATCTTATATAGTCGAACCAACTGAAATCAGGTGGGGTACAAGGGCGTGTTTCGAACGAGTACCGAAAAATACTTTCGCCATAAGAATATGTAACCGTTTGTGTGCTTTCCTCTGCCACACCCGATTCTCTTTTTTTTTTGTTCTCCCTTTCAATAATATCGTTAATTTATCTCCTCCGACCTTGGACTAAAAATCCAAATTCGTCGAGTCTGATTACTGTCACAGAAAAAAAACGATTTTATACTTTTACTTTCTTGCTAAAATTTTGATTGGAATATAATATAATAATAAAAATAATAACGTATATACTATTAATAATTAATAATGTTTTATTTATTTTAGATGAAATTCTTTATCATTATTTTATAATGATAAATAAAAATATGATATAAATATACATCATCTTCATATTTTTTGCATAATATATATTAAAACAATTTCTAAGTACTCTATCTAACAAAAAATTATAATATATTTAAAAATCAAATTCAAAGAACATTAAAATTTATATACATATATTATATTTATTATATATAATATTTATATTCTATATGTATATATATATATATATATATATANATTAACATCAAATGAAAATTGTTAAATAAAATTTTTAAATATATTACTTATTGAATAGAAAATTATTAATTGTTTCCCGCCTTTTTTTGCTTTTCTATCATCAAATAATTATGTGTTTGTTTGACATGAAACGACATCTAGAGATGCGGCATTTAAGAGATTCGATAAACTTAAAATAAGTTTATGAATGCATATGCATTTGTATATACGAAAAAAAAAAATAGTTTAAAATCTTTTAATTAAATAAAAAAGAAAAAATTAAATATTGCTTAAATTATTTTAACTTATTAGAAACAGAAAATAAATAGAAAACAGAAAAATATAAAGTGAATCCAAATAAAAATATCAAAATATGTATCGTCGTTTTGAAAATTTACGAGATGATCAATTAAAATTGCGCGCATTTGTTAAAGATTTGAATATAGAAGAGGTAATTATAAAAATTATATTTTAAACAGAGTGGGAATATTCGAGCTTAAAGAATAATTTCAACAGCTTATACAACTAGTAGAAAACATTATTTGTCAATTGGATGCTACGAAAATATTAGATGATCTTTTGCAAGCATTTTGTGATTCTGATGAGAGTCAATTAAAACAACGAAAACTTATCGAATATATACTGAAGAGTTTGGGAAAAACTAATATATCTACAGGACAAGCAAATACAATAATTAATTGGATAATTGCTAATTTTCCAAGATATTCGAAACAACATCTTGTCAAACTGGTCGATTTTTGTGTTAAAAATATTTGCAATGATGCTGATGAGTTACAGAGGCAAAACAATTTATATTTTTTATTATTTTTTTCTTTTTTTTTAATATCATATTTTTTAACACTATAACTCTTTTTTTTTACAGTTGGAAAGATATATTACCTGCTTTATTTGAAGCATTGGAAAATGAGAAATATATTGTTCATGCAGATATTGAAGTGTCAGGAATTGAATATAAAACATTAATTGTTAAAGATATATGTAATTATAATTGGAATGTCAATCTTTTACCATCTTTAGCAAAAATGTTTGGGTATATGATTTTTTTTATCAAAACTTTATGTATATAAACTTTATGTATATAAACTTTATGTATATAAAATTTAAAAAATTTAAAAATTATCCAAATTTTTTTTATGTAAAGAGATATGGCATTAGATAAGATAAATCGTAATGAAGTTTTGAAAACATTATGTTCTGCTCTTCCAAATCTTCCTTTGGATCAAGTACCTTCTTTCACATATCAAACATTAAAATTATGCACAAATCGAGATAATCAAAAACTTTTGAGTGCCTTATCTAAGTATTTTAATTTATGTTATTCTAAAACCAATTTAGTTAACAATGTAGATAATTTTGAAAGTATAGGTATGTAAACAAAAATAATTAAATTCATATATATCTATTACATAATATTTTTATTACTATTCTTTTCTAAATATATATATTTGCAGATATAATTAATTTAAGAGAGATACAAGACATTGAAAGCACTGTTTTGTATCATATATATCAAGCTACACAGTTAAATCATGAAAATATGAAAGATTTTATTCGTTTCCTTAAACATGTATCTTATGCTCCAGAATATATATTACAATCATTTATACTTTGTGTTTTAATGTCAGTTTCTGATATATATGAAGATCAGGTACCATAATTTTTAACATATAATCAAGAATTTTGTTGTAATCTATTTTAATGTAAAAAAACAATATGTTTGATAGATTTTTGAAATATTAAGATTGGCTATTGTCCACAATACTTTTGAAAAAGAAAAGCGACAAAATAGTGCATGGTTAAGGCAACTTTTACCTTCTCCTTTCAATATAATTGACATTATTCAACAAGTCATTGATAGCAGGTCAATTCAATTTAATGTTATTTAATTAATATTATTAATCAATATTTTTTTATACTTTCTTCTAATATTAATTATAATCATTTAATTATTTTATAGCAATAAAGAACGTCATTTAGTATTAAAGGGACTTACTAATTTAGCTTTTACACTAATGAGTGCTGATCAAAAATCAAAAAATACTGCAACAGCTATGTGGTGTATAGGATCTGAAATAATACGAGAAATAATTAAAAAACGTCATGAAACAATTCCTATTGTATTACAAGAATTAATTAATAAAATAGTAGCAGGAAATATGCCAACAGTACATTATACAGGTAGAAAGACAACAATATTTATTACAAAATTGCATCAAATATTATTTATTATCATAATAAAAAAAAATATTTTCTAGATTGTTTAAAATATATGTGTCGTGAATTGTCAATGATTGTTTTGGAGCATCAAACTATGATTATGATCATTCTTGAACGATTGTTACTTTTGCAACCTATAGTTGCTACTCAAGTTTTATATGCTATTTTTCCATTAATACCTATTTCGCCTAATGTACGAGAAAATCTTTTATTGACTTTAAGAAAAGCTCTTTACAGAAAAGGCACATCAAAACGACAAATGGCAGTTACAGGATTTATTGAGATGTTAAAGTACAAAAAAATGCATTCTCAATATAATTTTAGATTAAGTCAACTTAATTCCTTCGATTATGCAAATAGTTCTAATTCTAGATCAACATTAACTCAAGTATGTATATCTAAAAATTTTAAATGAAAATAAAATTATTAATTTATTGATTTTAATAATAAAAATATAATCATTTTTAATCTTACAATTTAGGTGACTTTGGAGTATAATTCACAACCAGAAAAATCACTTACAGAATATGGTAAAACTTTATGTTATGAAATATTGGATATATTAAAAAAAAGTTTTACTTACGAATTTGAAGTTAGATTACATTTGTATGAAGGTAAGAAAGATTTATTTAAATGAGCAATGAAAAACTTATTAATTTCATAAATAATATTATATTTTTAGGCTTATATAATACCGCAATGAAAAATCCTGAAATAATAGAAATTATATTAGATATGCTTTTTTCGCATTTGAATCTCTACCTTCATACAGATGATAATATTTTACCTCCTGTGAAATTAGAATTATGTACAGATATTCATGGTATGGATGTAATTATGCAAGAACCTATTGCTCAATTGATATTTGCATTACAAAAAATATATATTAATGCAATTACAAAGAATTCAAGTATTTTTGAAAAAATATATAATATTTTGGAATCATTATGTAAAAAAATGACAATTATAGAATTAGAACATTTAAATTTGGTAATTAAAATTTTATTTTAGCTTTAAATTCATTTAAATCTGATAATTAAAATTTCAATATAGAGAAAATAATATAAATATGTTAATATAAAAATAAATTATCTTAGGAGCATGGAACTGATTTTTTTCATGGAGAATCAAAATCACAGGTAAAACTAAAAAACCTTAGCATGGCTATTGAGATTTGTGAAGCTTTAATAGCATTTAGAATTGGTGAATGGTCAAAAGGGAATGATAAAGTTCTGAATAATATCAATGATTTATTTAAAGCATACACACGTTTGGTGGATTTTATTAAAATGGTAAAATGATCAATATATTTCATTATTATATTTTATTTATATTATATTATATATATTAAATATATAATGTATATATGTATTTAATTTTATATATTATTATATGTTAAAATATTAATATATTAAAAGTCATATAAATTTTTTAGCAATCTACAAAAATGAAAAAAACTGATAATAGTAAAAATAAGAAGGATAAAGATGTCAATAATACAACTAAAAAATCCATTAAATCAAATAATATAAAAATTCCAAATACTATTATGGATTTAGATGTGATCCGTCAAAGTTTGTTACTTTTATTTTCGTAAGTATAGTAATTGAGTGAGTATTATTAAGATACTATTATTAAATCATTCTAAACGTTTTCACGGTTTTAAATTATTAAAGAAATATTTTTATGTAAAATTGCAATATCAGAAATATTTTTTTATTCAAATGTTATTTTTAATAGAGTAAAAATCGAATTATATTATAAGAATATAATTATTATTGGATTTAAAATTAATAATTAATTATTGAATTATTATCATTGAACTGTGGAAATTTTTAGAATGTATAGTACAGTAAATCTAATTGCAATTTATAAACAGACAGTCAACTCAAAATGATGATATACTTCGAAAAAATCATAATTTTTGTTATTATATATTACAAATATGTGAACAACTTTTACAACGTATAAAACTGTCTATAAAAGACATTTCTCAATCACAAAATCATCGATATCTAAATACATATATTGATATTGGAAGGTGAGTTTAAAACAAAAAAAAATGTTCAATATTAAATACTTTGAATCTCATTTTTTTATATTAATTAATAATAATGAAAGTATTTTTATTATTTAGATTGCTTTATAAACATTTCATACAAAATATAATTAATGCTCTTACAAATGATGCACAAGTAACTATATTAGCTTTGCAATGTTTCAAAGAAATCTCTTATTGTGTATGTACATTATTATCATTCGAGTTACAGACATTTCTCAATTCAATTTGTATGTATTTACATAATAATTTATTATATGATAATTTAATGTATACTTTTTATACAATTTTTTGTATAATTTTATTTATATTTTACAGTTGAAATACAATCTAAGAAAGATACAATACCTAAAGATATTAATTTTCAATTACAAGAAATTATTTTTTCATTAAAGGAATATTTGGAAAAGTTTCTTACAGAAGACATGAATGATGATGATAAGAAGAAAGTATCATGTTTATTATTAGAAATAATAGAACAATACACATACAAAATTAATTTTGAAAATTACAATTCTGATAAGGTTGGTGTATTGTCTTTCATAAAAATGATTTCATTTCTATAGGAATATATTAGGATATAAAAATTATTATAACTATAATTATTATTAGTATAAAAATTAATTTTCAATTAGAAAAAAAAATTATTTTCTAAATATAATTCTTTATTTCTATGTATATTTTTTTTTCATAAAAGATGCTAAAATGTATAAAAAAAATGATTCAGATCGAAAATATTCAAAGTTCTATTGTTCCTGCAATCTTGCAATTTTTTTTACATTTAGAAGAACATACACAAGAGTATGGAGAAACGTTAAATGAAATTTGTATGGAATTATGTGAAAAAGTTGGAACTATTGATGGTGTAAGTAATATTCTTTATTTTACAATATTCAAAATTTTTTTGTATTTCACATTGATTTTTATTTTTATCAAATATAGACTGAATTAATAATGAATAGAATATATAAAATTATACGCGAAGATACTATATTACAAATTTATATTGTATTAAATAGTCACATTAAACAAAAGTTGGATAATGCTTCATGGTTGTTGATGCGATTAAAAGCAGAAGACATCATAATTCGAGCACCTGGAACAATTGATGAAGTATGTAAGTATAAATTTGAAATATCAAATAAAAATTTTACAACAAAATAGAAAATTAATTTATAAATTGTTTTAACAGTGAATAATAATTTAAAAGAAAAGGAACGAAATTTATGTAAACAACTATCCTATCTTGCTCAAGTACTCCAAACATTAGCTAATATATCAATTGAATCAAGTCCATGTATTGACAATACTTTTAAAAATTTGCAATATTTATATCATTTACTTGGAAACTTTACAAAATATTTTTACACAAAATCAAATATTCAAAACGCAGCATTCCAAGCAGTTAAGTATGTATTGCATATATATTATTTTACATAATTAATAATTTATATATTATTGAAATTGAGTATAATGTGTATAATGATTGTAGATTCATTCAACTGGTACAATTAGCTGGTAAACCATTAAAATCTACTTTTTATAATTTAGTAACATATGTAGAGGTATGTTTTTTACTTTTATAAATTTTTTATCAATAATATTAATATATATTATATTAATAATATTAATAATATTATTAATAATGTATTTATTTTTGTCAAAAAAATTAGGAAAATCAAAATAAATTACAGTCAAAATTTGATTCTTATGCACAAAGAAATAAAATTTTAAAAGAAACTAAAATAATACCTCGTGTAGTATATGAAATTGAACAATTTAATAAAGAAATATTATTACTTGGCAAAAGAACGGGTGTAAGTATTAAATCAAAGTATTAAATAGTTTATTCATTCATTCACTTTGTATTCACATAGAATTCAATGATTTATATGATTAGATACCATTAGAAAATTACATGAAACACAGCATAACTAGAGATTTTAGAATAAAAAATCCAGAATTGGTAGAAGGACTTGAGAAAATGGATATAAGTATGGTAATATCAGCTAACAAAGAATATATTATATATTAATTTCTTTAAAAATATTAGCAATATTCTAAAATATTTTTAATTTTTATAGCTTGCTTCATCAAGTCCAGAAAACTCTGAAAATGAAAACCCTATTTCAAATACAGATGATTTGAGTGATAACGACGATAATACAGTATCTTCAAAAAAACGATGTAGAACAGAAGATTGAAATATTCAATTAATCTTATTTAAAATTTGGGTTAAAAGATATAAAAAAAAAAAAAAAAAAAAAAAAAAAAAAANAAAAAAGAAACAAAAATTAAACATATTTTGTTTTTAGATTTACTTTTTTCTATATGATATATTATGTTTACTTATATGAATTATTTTCTGTACCATTTGCACATCCTATTGTTCTAATCAGGCCACTAAACAATGGAATTCGTACGAATTATAAAGAATTTGAAATTGTATTGTTTATGGAATTGTCATATTTATAAAATTTATGCTACAAAATCCAATGGTCTATTGAATCCTCCTTTTCTATTCATGTATTGTCTATACTTTCTTTTAAGAATAACATGTACAGCTCCCACATCATTTCCTTCAACTTTTTTGCCCTTAGTAGTATCAAAACCACAAAAACCCATTATTCTCATCATTTCTTGTTCTTCTGGTGTTTTTCCTTGAAGATCAGCTTCTAAATATTTTAAATGAATAAAATATTCATTTAAAAAATTAGATCTTTTCAAATTCATATTTTTTTAATATTAAATCTATATACCTGTAATAACAGGACGTTCTGTTGTAGGTTTTAATTTGGGTTTAGGTCTATCTCTTTCTCTTGATCTAGATCTACTATATGAACGTCTGTGCCTATCTCGTTCACGGTCACGATCCCTTTCTCTTTCTCTCGATTTTACTCGATCCCGTTCAACAGATCTAAAATGATTTCAAATTTATGTTATCATTTATATAATATTTTATATAATTTGATTCTGTAATAAGTTATAGAAAAATACCTTCGTCTTCTTTCACGAGAACGTCTTCTTCTTCTATCTCTGTCTCGTTCACGTTCCCGATCTCGATCTCGAGATCGATCTCTTCTTCTTCCTGGAGAAGGTGAACGACTACGTCCCATAGTACGTGTTGTTTATAATTGAGATAATAATGTAACAAGAATTATTGAATGTATATACATATGTTTTTATATTTCAGTATTTCAAAATACTTTTTATTGGATATATGGTTAATAAAACAAAAAGGTTATGTTTACAAACACTAAATATGTATGTTTAACAGTTATATTATGTTATTAATATTTTTATTTAATTTGTTTGTACCATACACAAAATGAATATGATTCTATGATTATAATACTATAATATATAATAGTAGAAACCAATTGTAAAATAGATAATTTTGTAGTAACAAGCAACTACATGTCTTTTTCAATGGGTACGTATGTATCTCTAAAAAGTAATCAACATAATGTTCGTATTATGTATTTATAATTGTTTCAAAATTTTGATATTTAATTATACTTAATAATCTTAACTTAATAATTATCTAAATCATAAAGAATTTGTATCAAAAAATTATTTATTTAATAGAATTAATATTATTCAATTACTGTGTAAATCAATAACTAAGAAATATCATTATTTGTACTTAAAATATTAACAAGAGAAATCAATTATTAATAATTATTAACGCTTTGCAATTGGAAAAATCTGTTATTTTGGAAATTTCGGTTATCTATAAATCTTAGATTAGAAAAAATTAATTTAATTATATGAATCAAACACATTACAATTCGTATATAAAAATATCTTCAAAAATTATATATAAAATAAAAATATATAGATTTGTTTAATATTAACTTTTAATTTATAATCATTATTATAAAATATACATATATTAAAATACAAATTAATGTTTCTTTTTTTTTTATTAATAAAAAAAAATAAATTTAAAAATATAGAAATACTTTTTATAGATTTGTGAAAATATTAGAATATTATAATTTAATATATGTATATTTTTAGAGAATTATATTTTCTTTATTATAGAAAAACCGAATTGTGAGGAATAAAAGGAATATATATATAAGTATACATATAAATAAATATATATATATATGTGTGTGAACAAAAATAGCTCACAAGAATTTGCATCATGAACTTTTTGTTCAACTGACTATGTACGATTTGGCTAACTTTGCTAGTTGTAGCTACCGTTATGCTATTTATATTCGTTTATTAAATTTAATCTTAAATACGACGTAACTGAAAGTGAATTTGTTTAAAAACATTTTGTATCTATCTTAATAATGATTTAAAATTTTAAAAATGAATATTTTTATCAAATAGAAGCGTGCAAAGTTTTATATTATATTAAAGAAAGGAAATCAATAATTCTAAAAGAAAATAATTTTTTCAAATAATTATTTGTAATTTCTTGTGAATATTTCGAGACGATTCGAAGAGAAGGATATAAGAGGCCGACGACCGTTTCTGCATTGCGTCATTAAGTTTTAATCGTTCAAAGAAACGGTCTCATTTTCTGTGTAATCGTGTCGTGAAAAATTTTGTGCTTAATTATTTTATAAGTTAATAAACTTTATTATTTTTATATAATTAAAATGGTAAGAAAAATGTTTATTTTTCTAGGTGAATGACTATTGAAATATAAAAAAATAATAAAAAAATATAAAGATAAAATCAATAATTTAATAAAATCAATAACCAAGTAATAGATCGTTTAAGATTTAGAATTTCATTTAATGTTAGATTGAAAATAATAATTATATTGAAATATTGACAAATAAAAAAAATAAATTTCATTTTCTCATAATTTCCTCTTTTTTGAAAAAGAAAGTGATTTGGAATTTAGATAAATAATAAAAATTAGATAAGGAAAAAAAAAGAAAAAATTATTTCTTTCAAAAATAGAATTTTAAATGTTATTTTAGCGCGAGTGCATATCTATTCATGTCGGACAAGCTGGAGTCCAAATTGGAAATGCTTGTTGGGAACTCTATTGTTTGGAACATGGAATACAACCGGATGGACAAATGCCATCTGATAAAACATTTGGCGGTGATGATAGTTTTAGTACTTTTTTCAACGAAACCAGTTCTGGCAAACATGTACCTAGAGCAGTATTTGTCGATTTAGAACCTACAGTAGTTGGTAAGAGAAAAAAAGAAAATCATTAAATCATTTAATTATTAGAGATTAATGATAGAAATATTGAGATTTTTTTTGTTTTTGTAGACGAAGTTCGAACTGGAATATATAAGCATCTTTTCCATCCAGAACAATTGATCACTGGCAAAGAAGATGCAGCAAATAATTATGCTCGTGGTCACTATACAATTGGCAAAGAAATTGTCGACTTAGTCATTGATCGAATACGCAAACTAGCAGATCAATGTACCGGATTACAGGGATTTCTTATTTTTCATTCATTCGGTGGTGGTACTGGATCGGGATTCGCTTCTTTATTAATGGAGCGTCTTTCTGTTGAATATGGAAAAAAATCTAAATTAGAATTTGCGATATATCCGGCTCCACGAGTCTCTACAGCTGTTGTTGAACCATACAATTCCATTCTTACTACTCATACGACTCTCGAGCATTCAGATTGCGCTTTTATGGTCGATAATGAAGCAATCTATGACATTTGCCGACGCAATTTGGATATCGAAAGACCAACTTATACTAATCTTAATAGACTGATCGGACAGATTGTTTCTTCAATAACAGCGTCATTGCGATTTGATGGTGCTTTAAATGTAGATTTAACCGAGTTTCAGACAAACTTAGTTCCTTACCCAAGAATTCATTTTCCTTTGGTTACTTATGCTCCTGTAATATCCGCTGAAAAAGCATATCACGAGCAACTTTCAGTCGCAGAAATCACTAACGCATGTTTCGAACCAGCAAATCAAATGGTCAAGTGTGATCCAAGACACGGAAAATATATGGCTTGCTGTATGCTGTATAGAGGAGATGTCGTCCCAAAGGACGTGAATGCAGCGATCGCCACTATTAAAACAAAACGAACAATACAATTTGTTGACTGGTGCCCAACTGGATTCAAAGTCGGTATAAATTATCAACCGCCAACGGTTGTACCGGGTGGAGATTTAGCTAAAGTACAACGAGCTGTTTGCATGTTGTCTAATACAACAGCTATTGCTGAAGCTTGGGCTCGACTTGATCATAAATTTGATCTTATGTATGCTAAAAGAGCTTTTGTTCATTGGTACGTTGGCGAAGGTATGGAAGAAGGTGAATTTTCTGAAGCTCGTGAAGATCTTGCAGCTCTTGAAAAGGACTACGAAGAAGTTGGCTTAGATTCGACTGATGTAGAGACAGATGCTATTGACGAATACTAAATTGAACCTACTCATTTTCCATATATTATTTAATTTAATTAATTTTCTACCATTTTTCTCTAATATCCAATTTAGAGTTTTGTTTAGAGTCTTTTCTTCTTCTCCTCTATTTTATCTTGCAAGTGATAAATACTTTTATTACAATATTTATAATTGAATTAAACTTAATATTAAAACATATCAAAATATATGGATATAATATAATGATGATATGTTATAAGAATGACATTAAAAAAGATTGTATAATAAACAGAATTTGAATTAGAAAGAGATATGAATATAATGAATATTAGAAAGGATATGGATATAACAGGAATAGAAAAATCAAATATCCATACAATCAAAATATTGTATAATAAGACAAGGAATTCTTTTCACATCTTTTTTCTCGTCAATTAGAGACGTATTTCTTTTGTCTTGTTTTATTGCATTACACAAACGGGGCTGGGGAGGCAAAATTAAATAGCGGATTAAATAGTTCAGCGCGACGCTTTAACAAATTAAAAACGTAAAAACATTAACAGTACAATATAGTTTCTTATTGTAGACGTAATGCGATGGCAGTCTTGAGTCCTGGAAAGATGCTGTGATTGTTGCATGATTATTTTAATTTTCAAATTTCTATATTCTATTTCCTATTTTCTATTTTCATTCGTTTCCGGTATATGCATTTTTGACTCGCTTTGCGATCTTCGACTCTTCTCTGTCTCGCGGATTAATTCTTCATTCAATAATTGTTCTTTTATTTGCGATAAGCTTTTGCTCCTGGCAGTGTCTGGAAATAGAAAGCGGAAACAAAAATCTTTCATAAAATACAACTATTTCTACTTATGATGCAATAAAACACAAGAGACGTATGACTTTCGGAAACGAACAAACAAAAAAAAAAAAACTACATAAGTATTCTAAACGATAACATGTGATTGTATAAATATTATTATAGCAATCATTGCGACTATAAGATATCTATTGTTGCAACTATGCGAATTACAATAGCGCCAACAGCTCTTCTACTCTATAAAAAAAAAAAAAAAAAAAAAAANAAAAAGAAAAGGAAGACAAAAAAAAAAGAAAAAAAAAGTCTTTCTGAGATAAAAATTTCCTACCTTTTATCTTTGTATTTCTTCTTAGTATTTCCGAAATACTGAAATTATCGATATATATCGCGTAGTTATTATCACTCAGATAAATATCAAGAAATTTTAACTCTTACAGTTTTTATCTTTAAATTTTTCTCGTGTGAATTATTATCAATCTTATCAATTTTGCTCATGTAATCAACGCGTATCGATATATAATTATAATCAATAATCGAGGAAAAGAAAAAAAAAAAAATAAAAAAAATTGATATATAATCGAGAATTATATAGAAATTGGATATTAGAGAAAGATCAATCCCATTATGTTTAACATATATACGTACCAAAGTTAGGACTACCTACGCCTCGACTGGCTTCTTCTTTTCTTTCTTCTTCTTTAGGAAAGAGGGTGTTCTAAGGCCTTTCTTCTTCTTTTTTTCCTTTTTCGGAGACTCCTCGCTAACGCTCACATCCTGCGACACGGAACCCTTAACACGGAAGGTCCCAACCGTAACCATAAACCTTTCTGCATGCACATGCAAGTAGCCAATTCTCTTCCTCCTTCTTTCTCCCTATAAGCGCGCACGCGCGCGCGCGTGTTCTTTTCTCCTAAGATCTTTTACTTGAATATAATATGTCATTCTGTCAATGGATTTATATGCATATACATACATACATATATATATATATATATAAACAAACGCGCACGCGTGTCTCATTTTCTTTTCCTTCGCCCTTTAGCGTTTTGCATGATCTTTATTATGTCCATAATAATCGGTCATCCTTAGATTCATGCAAGCGAACACTATAGGCGCACTACCTTAATTCATAGCATGATATATCACAGTTAATGAAAAAGCAGCATTTGTGCATGATTCTTACGACTCATTTGACAGCCGAGGATGAGATTGTGAAATGATGATTTATAAACGAAATTTAAGATTGTTCTGAGACGAAAAATTCCCAACTAACATTTCTTACATATAAAAAAGAGATCCGAATTAAATTCGTTAGAAATATTTAGTAAAGGATAAGGATTGTAATTTGAACATTTTATGAAATATTGCTTTATATATACAGAATGAATCAATAATTGAACATGAATAAAACATGAGTGAAAAATAATTGTTATTATTATAAGAAACGAATTAAACTTGAAAATATTATCTTGAAGAAAGGAACTTTAAATTACGCGATTGTTAAAAAGAAAATAGATACAATTATTTATACTATTTTATATTATAACTTTACATTGGAGAGAAAATCAAAGTTCCATGAAAATTATATCATAGAATTTAACATTTTTTCTTATTGTTTTTTTAATGTTATTAATCGTATAAAAGTTGTATCATATATAATAATAACATAACTCATTCTGTATATATATATACATATATATGAATTTTGTTATAACATATAGATTTAAATCCTCGAGCTTTATTATAAGTTTTTTTAATAAGTTATACAAGAAAAATAAAATTAAATAAGATATGTATACCGTATGTTGTATATTTCTAATAAAACTCGAGGACAATATAGTATTTAATAAGAATAATATGAAAAAACAAACCTCTTTACTACTTTGAGAAAATGTACTGTGATGAGCATCAGAGTGATCGCCGTTTACGGTATTTTCTCCTGTAACACAAAATGCAAAACATTATAATATCTTTAAAAAATTTATTCATGAATATAACGAAAAGAAAAAAAAAATAAACAAGAAATCATCAATATCAATAGTCAAATATACGCTTACCTCAAAAACGAAAAGCAGTATGTGATTCTTGTTCATTCTTCAAATGTTTCAAGTAAAAGGTCACGTTACAAAATCAATTGAGACAAACATTAAAATATATATTACAAAGGATATTAAAATAGTTTGATTGGGATTCTCGTATCTTGTTATTTTTTTGAAATTGATTTATTTATGAAACATGTATTCAATACAAATGAAAAGTAAAAAAAATAAAGAAAGGACTCACAAAGGAAATATGCAAAAACAACTATTTAAGAGCGTGAATAACATGTACAATACAACTGTAAACAATAGGAAATAAATTAAACGAAAACTTTGTGAAAATAAAATATAAATTAATGTACTATTTTATCATTTCAATTGTCTCTTTTTTTTTATAAATTAATGTATCATTTTATCATTTCAATTATCTCTTTTTTCTACTTAAACATATCTTATTCAATATATATTTCTCATTGCAAATTCATGTAAATTAAAATTAAAATAAATAAAAAAATATCTTAATAATAAACGAAAAAAAAAATTTCTTATAATTTGTAATAACATGCAAGAAAGAAATGATGATTATTTTGTTATTGTTTCATCATAAGAAGGAATAAATATAAAAGAAAATGTAATGTACTTCAATAAACTTCACTAAAATAAATATTATATCTTTGAAAAAGAATATTTCTGCAACTGTAAAAAAAAAAAATATTTGATCGCGTCTTTTTAAAAAAAAATATTTCTGGTACTTTTTAAAACGCGATTAGATAATTCTTTGCTATTTTTATATATCATTCATAAGATCATTATGCTGATTTTCTTCTTGAATATCTGTGTTGTCATTTATATCATTAAATCGATCATAGTTCAAATTTGTAATCTCTTCGTTCGATTCTTCTTCATTTATAGATATTAATGAAGGACATTCTTGATCGTAATTCACCGTATAAAATTTCATACAATGAATACAATCGATGCATGTATCTATAGGATCAGAAACATCCGTGATATGTAATCTTTTTCTTTTATCATTTTCGAGCGAATTATTCGAATTTCTATCTTGTTCAATATTAATGTTCGTAGGATTTATAGTTGTATTTGATGGTAAAATAAATAAATTCTCGACTTTATTATTCTCTATATCATGCTTACGTGATATTTTATTTTCAATAATATTTTCAATGTTATGGTTTTTCTCTACGCGGAAATTTAATTCAAACGCTTTGTCATTAATATTAGTTTGTTTCTTTTTCACTATTGTATGGAATTCGAAAATTGCATCTGCTTCCATCATTTCATCAGCTTCTTCTGCTGTTTCAAGCGATTCATTATTTTTTTCATTTATTTCAATCAAATTCGCAGAAGCAATAGCAATAGGTGCAGTTTGTTCATTTCGAAAAGATGCTTTTTCCAATTCATCATTGTTTGATGTTATCAAATTATTTATTTGCTGGCCGTTTTCGTGATTCATAGTATAGCAATTTTCTATTTCTTTTAGATCTACGTTTTTACTGGCTTTCACATTTTTAAATTCATCGTACATATCTATCACATGGTGAATAATCTCGTGTACAACAACAATAGAAGCATTTTGATTGCTCTGATACTTTTCATTTTCTTTCTCATAATCATTATTTTTCACACTTAAACATGATGTTGAAGTTGACAAATGTTCAGAAACTGAAGATGATAATGATCTATATTGTTTGTTTACATCTGAGAGTATGTCATAAACTTTTTCAAAAATCTCATTTAATAAATAATAAATAGTCACGTACGTATCATTTACATTCAGTTCGGCTATAATCTCATTCGCACTATCGCTGATGCCATTTTGAAAGAATTCATCAGTAGTTTCGATTAATTCTCTGACTTCAGGCAGGTCTAACGTATCCAATGATTCGTTCGAACGATTTTCAAGATGTCCATTATCAAAGTATAGATCGTTATTCATAATTTCAGGACATATTCCATTAGAAGATTCATATCTTTCGCCATCAAAATCGGACCAAATATAATTATCAGATTTATCATCTAAGCAATTTTCATTAGTCCATTGTTCATTTTTGAAATTCTTTTCTTTGCTTGATCGCGAAAAACAATTCTGTTTTAAATCATTATCATTTTTGAGTATAAATGGTGATAATCTCAACCATTCATCCAACATTTTGTTACTGCTATGTTCATGATCATCTGAATTTATAAAAGGAGTTAAACTATATATTAAACTCATATCAGTAGGATCTAAACTATATTTTGTTGAAATTTTAAGTCCAGAACGAGATAATGCACTCAATCTTGTTTTTGATGATGAAACATTTGAACGAATGCAATTTACCATTTCAGCAATCCGTTCTACAGAACTTGTATCAATCGATTTTAAATTTGTATTTGCATCTCGATTTTTTCCCGAAACATCAGAATTTTTATCACAGAAATCCAATAAATTTTCATTATTTTTCCATTTCAATGATCTGCAAACCTTTGGTTTTTTTTTATTATACAATTCTTTTGGCATTTTTTTATCTTCTAAGTAAACTAGATTTGAAACTTGTTCAAGATCATTATACTTTGTTCCTATCGAATAATTTACTTCCTCATCAATTGAAATAATTGGAGGACGAGGATAGTATTCGATTAATGTAGTTACTAACCGCTTCGCGATTATATCACTTCGCACAATTTCTAAACGTGGTTCACATCGATATAGTTCAGCAACTGAATAATCACGCTTACGAACAACGCAGACTTCATTTTCAATCTTGTTCTTATACTCGTTTTGACTGTAGTATCTGCTGGATGAATCAGGATCTGTAACCATATTGCCCAAAAACACTACAACTCTATTTTAATATTTGTTCCTTTTATTTACCTTCTTTCTCGTGAAGACAGAAGATAGTTATTATGATCACGGATGCTCACACCTACGTATTTAAGAAATTCGTTGCATTCATAAGAGAATGATATATATAATATTCGATATAAATTAGCTCATATATATATATATTTTGAAATAGACTTCTTAGAATTTCTTCAGTTTTTATAATCCGAAATGATCACATCGTTTCTTTAAATAATTAGAATGATTTATAACTGACAAAGAAAAGTATAATATGTACATAGATTTATAAAAATTAATGTGATGTAAGATAAAAATGTGCATTGCGGGATAAAAATGAAAGAAAAGGAAGTTAATAAAAAGGAAATAACATTGATGTACTGTAGCAAACAATGAGTATGCAAAAATATTTATGTGCACATGCGTATATTTGTAAATATACAAGCATGCAAGGTGCAAGCGTTAGTGATCATAAATTAAAATGATAAAAACTAAAATAGCATAAAAATACAATAATTAATTGCAATATCCTCATGCTTATGGATCAAGCCTTGTAATTATTATTAATTATAAGAAATTTAAAATGTATTTCATATGAATTTGATATTATAAAACCAAAAAGTGGAGAAAAAATATTTACAATAGTAAATATTAATAAAGAAAAAGTTAACACAATACAAGGCTTTTCTTATATCAATCGAACATGCAAATTATATTTCTTTTACTTATTTTTAAGAAATCTTTCTCTCTATAAACATGAGTAATTTTAGAATTCAATTTTGAAATTAGAAATTATCAGAAATAACTTACCATCACTCAGTACAACTTCAGGTTGACTTGGTGCAGGCACTTGTTTCGTTTCTATTCGTAATACTCGGGGTTCTACAAATAATTATAACACAATACATTAATTAAATAATTTTTTAATTTTAATATCAAGATATAAAATATATGAAAATGTCTGATGATTACTCACCATCTCTGCTTTCCTCTTCTGTTTCCGATGTTACTGATACAGGTGATTGAATAGGACTTTTGGCAGTGCTCGATTCATGTGTTGCGCGGCTGACATTAAATGATGATAATGCTTCCGATTCTGATTGCGACTCATCATCTATAAAACACATATCAATAAGATTATATTTATAATCTTAATGAATAATATAAATTTCCAATTGATAATAAATTTATGTTATCTTACGTACAGATATCTCCTTTTTGTTTACGTTCCACTTCTCGTTTGTACTGATCGAGTTCTTGGTCAGTAATAGCATCAAAAGGATTTTTGGCATACGGCGTTTTATAAACCATTGCGTTGTGTTGAAACCCTCTTTGTATAATACCTTTACTGGCTGCGCCTACCAATACTACTTGTTCTCCTGTTCCGCTAATAGTGGCATCCTTCCATATGAATATTTTTTATTAATATATACATATATTTTAAAATATAAAATAAATATATTGAACATAATTTAACGAGACAGTAAATTAAGAAATCATTAATAGTTCAATTTTAAAATTATTATTTAAAACATTATCTTATATTACCTGCATCTTTTTAGCTTCTTCCCACGTAACACCTTCTAATATATGAGATTGTGGTCCAGCTGATATCTTGTCTGCTCTACGATAATCTTTTATCTAAACAAAAGAAAACATAGCTCCAAGGATTGAATCAATTTGTGAATACAAAATAATTAAAATTAAATTGTTTCATTAAATTAAAAAAATTCATATAAATTGCACTATTGAAATTTCATTTCACTTACCTGTTGTTGTATTTGTTTAAATTCCTTTGGATTGGTATTTTTCGGTACAAATTGAAGGGCACTGTCGATCTTCACCGGTGTACTGCTATGGGTCGGAGATCCGTCTGACACCCACTGCACACAAAACCAGAACGTTAGTCGACCCTCATCAATAATTCGACATCCGACACAGCATTATTATATATATATTTTCGTATTGTCTGCATATGTTATGTGTGCCTGCTTTGCTGGTGATGTCGTCGTATTATTTTAATTTTGCATGTAAGTAGCACGTCATTGATACTGCGATATTTATTTAAAACTATTAATCTTTATTCTCGTGACATTAAATAAAATGATCATGTTATATTTACTTCTATTATTAATAATGAATTTTTTTTATTTGTTTCGTATCTCTCTCAATCATTCTCGCTTTCGCTCTCTTTCCCACTCGTTTCTTTACTCTCTCACTCTATAGGGTCGATCGATCTGGTTTTGTAAATGCAGTGGGACGAAGAGTTGAATATCCATCCCTTAGACGACACGATTTTAACAGGCACACATTCATACACAGTTTTGAATGTGAATCGGTCAAACGATAATATTCGTATGCATAATATATATGGTTAACTGAAGTTCGATTCTCGTGTAGCAATATTAAAATGCCATAAACTCGAAAAAATGCTCGAGAATATAGCTTCTATTGCTCATCGAACTAATCATCAAAAAATATTCTCTTTCTCTTGTTCCTATACATGATGTCACACCATTATAAATGAAAAAAGGGTTTTTTATTATTATTTTTTTTTTTTTTTTTTTTTTTTGAAAAATTACCTACAACACACGATAAACAGTAGACATATATTTATTCATATACCACAAGCTACAAGAGAGAGGTGCAATAAGTTTTTATTATAATTTAATCGATCTAAAAAAAATGCACAATATCATAATAATATTTATTTAGAACTACATTTTTTATTCTAATAATAAGATCATTAAAAATTTATTAAATGTATCCTTTTTTTTGTTCAGGAATAGACTAAGCTTTATATTTTCTTTTTCCTCTCTCTATTTCTCTCTCCTTTGTGTAATTCATGTATTTTCTACTATATTTTGATAAAGTGGAATGTATAGAAATTATTGACAATATTACTATAGAGATTATAAATAATGAGCAAGTAATGCAATATAATTAAATAGAGAAAATCAATGTTTCAGACTAATCTTGAACTATAGTTTTAGTATGTTTTTATACAAAATGTAATAAATTATATTAAAAGAAATGGACAATTTCGTACAATGTTATTCATTTGCTTTCTCATCACAACAAGGAAAAGCAATATTATTGAAAACTAATATTTTATATGATCTTTTTCTGTGATAATTAACGGTGATAATTAAATTTTGATAGATAACTTTTTTGAAGATTATAAATGTAACAACATGTATATATGTAAAATATTCACAAATCTTAATGTTAAAGAGTATTATTTCTATAATATTATGCAAGATCGTTGTAATGCTTGCGCAAATTTAATTTTTTTTTTCCATACATTACTTTATACTTTTATATTTATATCAATTTTGTTGATTTTTCATTATAGAAGCACGCCGTTACATCTACTCATCTTTATTCTCAAAAGTGATGACTTCTACCTTTGTTATTTTCTTCGGATCAGGAGTTCCTGTTTCAAGTATCTCAACCTTTTGATATACATTGGGCGAATTTAACCAACGTGATCTATCTGTACCTTTACGACCACCTTTCCAAAGCCTATAAAAAATAGAGAATATAAATGGAAGAATTTTTTTCGTTAATTGTTTAATATATATAACAAATTTTATCTAAGAAACATATTTACCCTTGTTTATATAATTCTTCCTCTTCAAGTAAATATCCTAAAGATGAGACCGCTGGCGGTACTTCTACATCATTTCGAGGCCGCGGAGGTTCTCCTTTCACTAACGGATTTCTATATATATAACCAGTTCGGAAACCCTGCCAAATTATATTATTTATATTAAATATAATATATATATATATATATATATTATATTAAATTATATTTGACAAATATATATGAAATAATTAATAAATGTGTTATTTTTAAACAAAACAAAAGAATGAAAATCAAAAAAAAAAATCTATATACTTACAGCGTTATCAAGCATCCGCATAAGAGCTTCGAATTCAGTTCCACCGATTCGCCAACGCTTTTCGAGTTTCTCAGTAAGAGCTGTAGTTTCAGAGATTGGAACCGTTTGTTGCGGTGTCGGTGGTTTTCTCGAAGCTTCGAATATAGCTTTTTTAGATTCTTCAGAAATAAGATTTAAATTATCCAAACCGGCAGGCATTAATTTCAATTGAGTCTCACAAGCTAGGACCATATTATAAACATTGAAGAAAGCTTCTTCGACAGTTTCTCCACAACAGAGAGCACCGCGATTCGTTAACAACATGATTTTGTTCATTGGACCAAGATTTCTTGCTATCTTCTCTTTTTCTTCTGGTTCAAAAAATCCACCTATATATTGATGTGTGCTTACCTCTCCTATTACTATACTTTCTTGTCCTATTGGCAATAATCCGCACTTCAATGACGAGATCTAAAGAAATAAATAAAATATTATTTTTTTTAAAAGTAAAATTAAAAGATATCTAAAATTATGTTATTTTTATACTTACAGCAGTAACGGACGGAGTGGTAATATGAACAATGCATTTTATATCGGGTCTCGCAGCATGGATTGTTGAATGCAATTGAAATCCTGCCACATGAACCCCAAAATTGGTTGTTCCTTGTTCCACGATTGTTCCTTGCATATCAACTTTAATCAAACTTGAAGCAGTAACTTCATGATACAATAAACCATACGGATTAACTAAAAAGTGTTCTTGATCTTGATTTAAACGAGCTGTAATTTGTCCTCCAACACCTTGAGTCCAACCATAGAGATCAAGCAATCTAAATACTGCTGCCAATTTGCAGCGCAATAATTTTTCTCCCTTTGCATAACCCATACTTTCAACACCACGTATATCATTGATAGGTAATACACAATTTGAATCTGTAAAAAAATTAATTACTTAAACATTCAAGCAAATATTTGAATGATATTTCATAAACATACTTTTAAAAATATTTCCGTTGAATCGAGCACCTTGTGCACCCATCATGTCCGAGATTTGCTGTAATAGACCTGATGGTCCAGCACCATCTTTCATTTGTGTTTCAATTATGCGTTCTAATTCTTCTCGAAAAAGTCGCGAATTCATCATCATTTCGACTCTCTTCCTTCTTTCCATCTCTCTCATGTCCTATGAAATAAATATTTAATTTTAATATTTTTTACATATATATTTTATTAAAATTATATACGCAAATATTAAAAGCATTTGTTTTACAGTTTTAGAAATCTTAATATATGATAGAAAGTTCATTTAATATCAATTAGAAACATAATAAATACATAATAAAAAATATAAAAAAAAATCCATTTTTTAAAAATCTTACCGCATCGATATCTGCAGGCCGCATTTTGCTCTTTTCTTCTTCTGTCAAACCATCCATTACTCCATTCGTGTGTGGTTCGGATAATGGTTGTTGTTGACTTGTATCTGCCATCCTTATTTTTTTACTTAGTGTCTCTTTACCAATTCCTTTTTATTTTTTTCCAAATTATATTTTTCTTTTGTATTTTTTATTGTATTTCTATTCGTTATCACTATCACCACCACTATCACATTCACTACTACTATCACTAGCACTATCACTATCGTCTTCGTCGTCACCACCGTCGTCACCACCGTCGCCACCACCGCCACCACCACCACCGCCTCCTCCTCCTCCACCTCCACCTCCTCCTCCTTCCCCCGCCGTTGGATACCGGCTAAAACAAAATACTTTAGTATTATTATAGAGATATTAAAAAATTAAAAAATAAAATGAAAAACTTAATTTAATTTTTTATTTTTTCATTTAAACAATATTAATTTTTTATATTTTGATTTTTTTATATTTTTGATATAGTACATATTAAATTATTATTTATTTAAAAAATAAATTTGATTATATCTTTTTTTTCATTTTAAATATAAAAAGCAATGAACGCAAGAAAACCGACAGAAGATAGCAAACGATCAATAAAGTTACGAGTAACAGTGAAGTAGAGTAAGGTGCGTCGAACGCGTAGATGGTAGATAGAAATGACAAGAATCCCTAGTACGACTGAAATCATAGTTTTCTTTTTTCAAATTCTTAGTAAGTTTATTTATATCATGTGTTTCTATTGCTGTATTCTATGTCTCTTCCCTCATTCTCATCTTAAAACCACTTTTAATTTCCGCATTATATTTTTCTTTTTATATTTTTAAATATATAACCTATATTTTAAATGTAAATATTTTCTGTAATTACATGCATAAATAAAAATATAAATATAAAATTTCCTGAAAATAATTGTATAAATTTAATGAATTTTGGATTCATAATAGCATTTTAATGAAAATAATATGTTAGAATACTTTCAGGATATTACATTAACCTTAATTCAATTTTCATTCAATGATTTTTTAAATTAGAGAAAAATAAACAGTAAATAATAAAATTGAATTTTTTTTTAAATATATTGTGATAAAAAAATGAAAGTAAATATAGTTTATTTGTTTCTAATTAATTGTTTCTAATATATCAAGCAACATAGTATCTCTTATAATCTCTTATAATCTTGTTCAATGACTCTTAATAATTCGGAAGCATACATTTAACCCAAATTCATAACTTCCGCAAATACTATTCTAAAAGAAATCACAGAGAGTATTCAAATTCTTTCAATTATTTTTTATAATCACAGCATTTCAAAATAATTTCTCACAGTATTTTTATCGCAAGTCTGTTGCTTTTTGATATTTTTTTTTTATTAATTAATATTAAACCAAATATTTTATATACAATATATAGAAAAAGATAAAGATAGAAAAGATAAATTTATTAAATAATTTTTATAAATTTTTTTAAAATTCTGGTAAATATTCTAACAAAGTGTGTTCATAATTTACAATTATTGTCTATGAATTCACTGAGTTAAACAATGAAAAAAAAATTCAATAACTATTACCATTAAACAAGTAAAAAATACATTGTCTTTTCGAAATAATTAATCTCACATGTTCGGTTCTCACTAAATTTTCATACTAAAAGAAATAAATAAAAAAATTTATATAATTCTGATTCTATTTATTTAAATATAATAAAATACAAATTTTTTAGATTATTCGATATTTGTTAATATCGAATTTGATAATAAAATTTATCATTAAAAGATAAATTTACCTATAAAAAATAAATTATAATAAATAATGACAAATGATAACAAATGATATTTTTATTAAAATACATTTTTTATATCTTCTTATATTAATATTTAATCAAGAAAAAAAACAAGAAATAAAAATTTTGAAGTAATTTTTTTTATTTGTATGTGCACATAATTCTTATGATTAAGTAATTCTTTAATTGTAATTCTTTCAATTAATGTTTATCAACGTTATTTAATAATGAATTAATTGAATTCCGGTTATTTGTGCTTAATCATCATTATCTTGTTATCATTTATAATTTTATAAATATTTTGTCTTTTTACAAATTTTTTAAGAAATTATTTAATTTCTACATGAATTTCAATATTTATTATCAAAATTTTAAATTTAAATTGCCGAAATCAATATAGTATAATCAAATACTGTTATTATTTTATTAAAAAATTTAGATATATAAAAAAATACTGATAACGTATTGAACTATTAAGATAATCAGCTGAATGCACATATTACGTGTGAGATATTTAATGCGACGCGTCCGCTGTTTCTCGATGCGATGATGTCATAACTTAAAACGTAAAACTCACTATCGTTGCTCGTTAGGCAGTATACTATATTACATTTATCCAAATACGATTATCATAATCTAAATACAAAAAAAAAAAGAAAGAAAAAAAAATTTTTTTTTAATTATTTAAATAGAACAGTGAACAATAAAGTGCTTCTACTATATCTTATGTAAAAAAAAATCTGTATTTTATAATTAATAATAATATTTTCTTAATAATAAAAAATAATTATAATAATAATTATAATGAAATAAATTAAATTTAAAGTTAAAAAACGAAACTCAAAAGATAAAGCAACACTGTTGAACATACAGGTGAACATTCCTTCTATAGAATCGAAACTCGAGAGCAGCAAGTTTATTTCCAAGCGACGATAGATTGCGCGCGGGCGGTTGAGAGTTATTATAAGGAAAAAAATGTTCATAATTGCATACTATAATTTATTATCATTATATTTCAAATTATACTTTCTATAAGAAAAAATGTAATCGCTTTAGAATTTAAGACATTAACATACAATCATGTTTGTAGATATTATACTAATATTTTGTCTCCGAATTCGATCATAAGGACGTCGAGACGAACTCAGCGTATGATTATTCGTGTGATACGCCCAAATGACCATTACATGTATATCAATTTATTACTCTACAAACAAATGCGAGCAATCTGATATAAATGCGCACGCGCACGACCGCGCATTGAGTAAATTTTATAGTATAAAAGAGTTAATTTTTATTATGATTATCTTTTGTCAAATTTTTGACATCCTTGCAGTATTGGATGTATAATAAATTAATTAAATGCATATAGAAAATAATGAAAAAATTTGATTCGAATAATTTTTTAATACAGACATGCTTATTTATTATTATCACTTTTGAATAAATATTGAATTAACATTAAAATGATATAAATTTTCAAACGAAAATCTAAAATGAAAATTAAAATTTTGATTCTAATACTTTCCCGCCGGTATATATACATATATATAAAATGTTACGAAACATATTAAATAAAGAATGGAAATATGAAAATATCATTATTATCGTTTTTAAGTTTAAATTTTTAATTTAAACTTAATGTTTGACACGAACATAGCAAGAAAAGAAGGTCAATGGTTTAACAATGCAAATGGCGATACAGCAATGGAGAGTAATGGTTTTCAATGGCGCAATTATGACAGCAGAAATCGTAATAATAATTATCAATGTATTTTTATGAAATATTCCATAATCAATGAAAAATATGATTCACAAGACTAAGAGGTTGTGTATGTACAAATGTATAAAAAAACATCCAAGATTGCCGCCTAATCGACACGACACACCCCTTACGCTACGTCATTCTTGTCAATTATTTAGAACTATCGTCTTTCGTATTTTAATAATATTGTGAGTTCTAAAATGAATTATATTCACAATAATATATTCTAATTTAATTATTTAAAGTGACTTACCTAACACAAAATTAGGCGACTATTGTAGATGATCGATATATCCGTATTCGTTTGGGGAACCGTTTGACTCGCTGTTCGTATCACCGAGCGGTCGTTCCGTTCGGTGGACAGCTTCCCCGCCCCCGTCACCGTCGATGCTCTTCCGGCGGCTGGCAAACCTTCCCCAAACCTCCTCCACCTTCTGGTTCGCTCGTACTGCCACCACCACTATTCCTACCACCACCACTTCCACTTCCACTTCTACTTCTATCTTCTCCTTTCCACTTTTGTTTGCACTTCGTTCTTTATATCTCCTTCCCGTTTCAAGTTTTCAAGTTTTCAATTATATTAATTTTTAACCTATAATTTTACCTATAATTCATTTAATAATATTTATGCTTATGAGAATCTTCATACTTGATCTCTATTTGATGATATATAGAAGTGAATAATCGTAAATAATTTATTACAACTTCATTATCGAGGTTAATACTTCTTCGTCTCTACTCTACTCTCTGCATTCCTGTTTTTTCCTCGAACTAATTGTACAATGGACACGCGGATCTTGCGCACAATACTAATGCGCAACACATAGCTGATCTACGAAACTTTAAGAACAAACCAACGAAAGATCGCTTCTCGAAAATCTGATTGGTTATCTTTTAAATTAACGTCCAATCAAAACATTTGAATTTTATACAACCAATAATATTAAAGATATAATACGAACGTATCGAAAGTCATCATAAGTCGATATATTACATGAATAATCGAAAATATTTCATACTATTGTGATATTTAATATTATATATTATGTGTACAATAAGAACAGATTAGTGTATATTTATCGATCAATTTAAAATATAAATGTAGAATATTGATTTTAAATTATTCTTAATATTTTCTTTAGTATATAATTCTATACCACAATACAATACTCTAATATGATGTTTATCCATTTATTTCTATCCTTCATATCATTTGATTAATTTCCACTCAATTTATCAATTGAACTTTATCTCGTTTGATTCGTAAACTTTAATTTGAAAAATGTCAAACAAAGCGGGTCGATTATTTTTAGAATATATACATATTTGAATAAAAAATTATTTTAATATTAGATTTTTAATATTATTTTAATAATATTTATGAAATATTTGAATAGCACAAAATAATTAAATTAATCAGAATAAAATAAACTTGTTTTTATAATAAATAAAAATGTGATATTGGTTTTATACAAGTGCAATCGTAACTTACAATATTAGAAAATTGAGATTACAGCATAAATAATAATATTCTACGATCGTTTTACATAATAATATTCTTCCGTCAAAACAAATATATTAATAATAATATAATAATATATATTTATAATAATATAATAATATATAACTTTGAATAAATATAATTACATTATTTTTTTCATAAACAAATATCTTTTTTATTTTTTTTTTTTCAGATAAAAACCTGTTTGGCGCTTTCCATGAGTAGAATTAACTGGAAGTTTACTTTGAGCCAAAGAGATATAATGATTTCTAATCGCGTCAGTGCTACAGTCTTCGATCTCATCTTTGACCAGACAACACTGATTTTTATCTCTTCTCATTTATTCAAATTGTTAGATTTTCGCTAACATCAATATACTTTCTCTTAGTATTAATTTACAATTCTTAAAAATTATCAAAATTGATTTGTAATTTGTGATTTAAGAAGTAAATATTAAATTAAATATGAATTTATTTACTCTTCAAATAAACCAGGTATGTATACATAAACGTTTCTGACGGTTCCATACAACTTTCGTCATTGGTTAATAATATAAACAAATTCAAATAAGTGATTTAATAATTTCAATATAAAACAAAAAGAAGAAATTATTTTATTAATTTGATGACGTGGCATATAAAAATTTTAATTTTAATGAAATAATTTTCAAAAAAAAATGATAATAATTACTTGACTATTATTGTATATTTTTTTGTCTTACAATAACACAATTTTTTAATATCATTAATATTCCGTTTTTCATTACGTTTTACATTATATTAATTTTAATTTTTAAATATTTAATTTTCTTCTTTTCATTTTGTTATAAAATATTAATTTTAAGATGGATAATAAAAATATTTTTGTCAATTTTTTAAAAAAAATATTTAAATATCTTTAATTAAATTTATTTATTTTTTTTTAAATTCATTATATATTATTTTTATATGTATCATTATATATTATATAATTACTATGAATGTTATCTGTAATTGTATTGTACAAAAATCAATCAAATCATTGAAAACTTCGCGATTGAAATGAATCAATCAAGGATTTTTTAAAATATTATTTATGTTATTTAAATATCAATTTGTGAAAAAATATAATTTATTTTTTTTTTATTAATTTCATAATAGTTGTTTCATAATATATGTACTCGAAAATAAAAATAAAATAGATAATAAAAATTTTCAGATATCCCGAAAAATATATAACAAAAAATATTTAAGTAAATGCATAATACGATTGAATCATAATCCTGGACCTTTATCTCAATTTACAGATGAAGAAATTTTGATGAAAGAAAGCGGTAATTTTTCTTATTATCAAATATTTATCAATAAATTGTTTTTTCGTGAAAAGCAAATATAATATTTTACTTTAATTAATTCTTAAAATTATGTATACGAAATATAATTTATGTAAAATTTTTTAGTTAACAAATTAGCAAAAGAAGAAATTGCTCCGCTTGTACGTAAAATGGAAAAAGAAAGCAAAATAGATGAAGGATTAATACGAAAGCTTTTTGAAAATGGTGTAAGTCTACCATTTTTCATTCTAGTAAATTAATATAAATTTATATAATCTTAAGGTATTTATTTCCTTTACCTACTTTTAAATGACGTATAATGCCTTTAATAAATTCATTGATAGTTAATGGGTATCGAAATACCAGAAAAATACGGTGGTTCTGGATGTAATTTCATGACAACAATTTTAAGTGTCGAAGAAGTTGCCAAAGTCGATGGATCTGTGGCAGCTCTAATCGACATTCATAATACTTTAGTAAATTCATTAATTAAGAAAGTTGCTACGGAAGAACAAAAAAAAAGATATCTACCAAGATTAGCTCAAGATTACGTAAGTATTACTAAGTATTATAAAACAATTTATAGATAATATAAAATATATTTCGTAAAATCGAAATATCTTGTAAAAGATTAATCCTATTAAAAAAATATTCTTTCTTATTATTCTTCAAAAGTTATTTATAAAAAAATATTACACTAAAATAAAAATATTCATTATTAATAGTTTTTCTACAAATTACAGATCATAAAGTTAACTTTTTAAATCAAAATTAATTATATTAATCAAAATTTTTATTATATTAATCAATATATTTTGTTATTTTCTAAAAAAATATATATATATAATAATTTATGTCGAAAAATTTTTAAATTAGAGACATTTTAACTTGAAAATATTTACAAAACTTATCATATGAAAGATAACAAATGCAAAACGGCGCTTTATTATTTATAATCTTTACAATTTATATATATAATTCGTCTAATTATAATATATTACACTCTGTACGTTTTATTTTATAGCAAAAATATACATACTTTTTTTTATTAATTTTTTATTTTTCGAGGCGGGTAGCTTCTGTCTTACGGAACCTGGTTCAGGATCAGATGCTTTTTCTTTAAAAACTACAGCAAAAAAAGATGGATCCGATTATGTGATAAGTGGAACAAAAATGTGGATTTCAAACTCCGATATTGCAGAATTGTTTTTAGTTTTCGCAAATGCAAATCCTTCCGCTGTAAGTCTAATATATTTAATAAATAATAAAAAATAATAATTATAGTATATAAAAAATAATTGATTCGACTAAAATTGTTTAATTTTATAATATAAAATATAATTTAAATAATTCATTTTATTTAATCATTCAATGCAAATTATTTTATTTGATTTCTATTGAATCGTTCAATTAATTGTTCAAACGTAATAAATTTAAATTTTAATTCACAATTTCATAATTTCATTTTATTTCTTTATGGATTATGATATTTAAACTTTTAGAAATTGATAATAAATTTTTGTGCATAGGGATATCGTGGTATTACAACATTTTTTGTAGAACGAAATACACCTGGATTGACAATAGCCAAACCAGAAGACAAATTAGGAATTAAAGCATCGGGTACATGTATGATTCACTTCGACAACGTCAGAGTAAATAAAATAATTTTTTGAATATATATAAAAAAATTGTGAATATTTATTACTTATAATTACTTTTTGTCATATATGATTTTTTTTTTGAATAAAGGTGCCTGAAGATAATATTTTAGGACATTTTGGGCATGGATATAAATATGCCGCTGGATTTTTAAATGAAGGACGAATTGGTATCGGAGCTCAAATGATTGGTATAGCACAAGGTTGCTTGGATGCTACAATACCATATACATTAGAAAGAAAGCAATTTGGGAAAGATATATTTTCATTTCAAGTATAAAAGAAAATTCAATTGTTTCTAATATAATAAATAATAAAATCAAATATTTTTTATTATTTTATTTGTTTTTAGTCTATGCAACATCAAATCGCTCAAGTAGTCACTGAACTTGAATCTGCTAGATTATTGGTTTACAATGCAGCCAGATTAGTTGATATAAAAAAAGATGTAATGAAAGAGGCTGCTATGGCGAAATTGGTTGCATCGGGTAATTAATATTTTCTTTTCTTTCTTTCTTTACGAAACCATATATTAATAAAATATCAAGTATAAAATTTATGTATTTTTTTCCATATAGAAACGGCTTTGCGTGTTACTGCAAAATGTATTGACTTTATGGGTGGAGTAGGATTTACAACTGATTTTCCCCAAGAAAAATATTTCAGAGATTCGAAAATCGGTACGATTTATGAAGGAACCAGTAATATGCAATTATCAACAATAGCCAAATGTATTCGTAAAGAATATTCATAAATATTATAATTAATTAAGATTTATTTTATAAGTTTTTAAGTTAAAAGTACTTTTTAATAGTACTTTTTATACTTTTTTTATAATTGTTTCATTTTTTACTATTTTGTTTATTAATAAATCTATATTAAACTAATTATTGTTTAAATCCGAATTTATTTTGGATCATGAGGTAATTTAAATCCAACGAGATCTGCAGTTTCTTTAATACTTCGTTCACCTTTACCAGCATATCGGATTTTAATTTCTTTGCACATACGCTGAGAATTTAGGTAACAGAGATATGTTTCTGCTAAATTTTTTAATTCTTCTCGTGCTTTGCACAAGACTTCAGAAGTTTCTTGATGAGATTTTGCTTGTTCCAAAATATACTGTATCATAATATTATTTTTTGCTTTTTGTTCAGATGACGTTCGTCGAATTTCTTGTATGAGCGAACGAAGCAATTTTGCGTTTGGTTTCATCTTTCTTCTAATCTATAACAGATAAAATGTTATTTATCGATTGATACTCAATACTTTCTATCCTAAATTTGCATAAAACATTATTATCTTATTCAATTCTTTAAAAATTTGATATTTGATAATTTGATTATTTTTATTATAATATACAATTCAATAACTTATAAGAATAATATATTAGTATACAACTTAATGATTTATAAACATTTATTTAATAGTACATAAAGAAATATAATTACAAATTCTTAGTATCTATTTCTTCAGTTTGTTTAGCAGTTAAATAATCAATTTCAATATCTTGATAGCAAGGTTTTTCTTGTTTGTTCCAAAAACTTTGAGGAATTTTACTAATATTCTGTTCAAGAAATATATGAATATTTAAATCATTAAATACTTCTTCATATATAAAATTATTTTGTAAAACAATTTCTGTTACATATGGTTGTATACGCAAGATATAATCAATAGAACTAGATTTATTTGTTTTTCTAAAATTATCTGCCACAATTGAAAAGCTATTTGTTAAAAGAATGCATTTATTTAACTTTTTACACCAATTAGCATAAAGAAAATTATTAATTAAATGTATTGAACAATGTGGCATATACACTAAAGTAATATTATCACATATAATGCGTTTGCCTTCTTCATTAATTTTTATAACATTGAAATCAAGTTTTTTTAGAAACTCAATTTCTTTGGAAGAAAAAATCGGATCATATACATAAACTTGAGGATTAAAATGTTTTTTCAAAAACAAAAGTAGTGCTAATTGATATTTAGAAGATCTGCGACTAAAAAAATGACCCAAACCATAGCACACTATATCAGAAATATCACTGCCATCTAAAGCGTTTAATGAATCTTTCAAATAATGAAAAACATTATCAGCAAATGATGAATTTTTCAGCTCAATTTCGGCCTTTAGCAATTTTCTGAAATTATGAAATTGTTATAAAAATTTTATAAATATCTAAAAAAAACATGTATATAAAAAATCCTTACCCAAAAACTGTTTCGTAATTAATGTTGTGATCGCCATCATTGTCATTGTTAGTAGATAAAAATGTACTTGAATGACATATAGTTCGAATTTTAGGTGTACGTTTCTTTCGATTAGTTACGAGTTTAAATTCTTCACTGTCTCGCATTTTATATATGTATTCTTATATATATACGTGTGTATTCATAGTTAAAAAGTATAAAATAATTCAGTTTTGTATGCAATCATTTTATTACTTACCTATTTAACTAAAAGATTCATATACCCTTCATTATAATTCATATAGCCTATGGTTCAATCACGCTTTTGTAATTATATAAAAGAATTATTATAAAAAATATTTCAAAATATAACAAAGATTAGTAATATAAGGTAAGTAAGAATAAATTTAGAATGAAATGTTATACTAGAATAATTAAAAATAATAAATTGGAAAAAAATTAAGTTTCAAGATTTTCTCTAATAGATGGCCCTATATTTTACTTGTCTTCTATAGATGGCGTTACTATATCGTTAAACTAAAAAAAATAGCAAATTTTATTAATTTTTAATAACTAATACATTGCAATATTTAAGATATATATATAATAGTGTTACATATATATTTTGTTAAATTTTGCTAAAATGTTATATTGCTATTGTTCGTTTTATTTTGTTTTTTTATAGTTTATTATTTATTTTTTATCAAGATTATTCAATCTTTTTTCTTATTCAATATATATGCATATATGATATGACTATAAATATTTAAGTCCTTCAAAAAATAAAAATACTTACTTATATATAATAAAAATATCTTGTTATATTTAATAATGTATAATTATGAAAATGTTGAACAAGAATATAAACAAATATTATATTTTTTATAATCAGCATTTTTAAATATTTTGATGATTAAAATAAAAAATTATATTTATATAATTTCATATAATTATATGACAGATATTTTATATATTTTGAATAAAAAAGAATACAGAAATAAAAATAAAAAAAGTTAATGAAAGCTAAATGCTTTGTGCAACAGAGTTCGAATGTGAATATGAATGATACAATCCATAAGATGTGATTACCACAAACAAAATATAGGATAGAGACCTATTACCACATCCTATACTTCGTTTCTGGTAGAACGTATGACGTATGCTTTATTCGTTGACAACAAATTAACTGAACGATGAGCCGATCTAAGAACGGTCGAGCAAGCGACTAACAAGTGTGAAGTAACAGTTATGATCGATCGATATAAATCGACACGCATATGTAAGGAATCCATCGTAATGTATTCGTGCCGATCGATTTTTATCAACAGCGTTTTTAATATACTACGTTACAGAAGAAGAAACGTGACACGTAAAGGTAAAAGAAAAATTATCGCATTGATTATGTCAAATTGAATGCGCGTTTCTTGCGATAAATATAATATATATATGACTATATATATAAATATTGAAAAATAGTGACTTACTATCTTTTTCTAATAATTAAAAAACATGAAAATATTAAACATTAACATCAACAGTATTTTTCTTTTTCTTTAAATATTTATTAATATATAAATAATATTTATAAATATTATAATTTTAATAATTATAATATATATAATTTGAATTTTTTTATTTATTTACAATATTAATGATATTTTTTTTTATTTAAGAATTGATTATATTGATTTCTTTAGATTTTCATCATTCTAAACTTTGACAACATTATAATTACAAATATATTAAAAATTTTATTTTATTTTTAAAATTAAATATTAAAGTCATCTTAGTCTTTCAGAATCCATATATTAAACTTATGAAACAACAAATATAAATTGTCTTCATCTCAAAGGTGAAGAAGTGAAATTTATGTTGAAGTAAGTTAACAATTGTGAAATAATTTTATTCTTATTTTTTTACGACGATACATTTCGAACTATATATATATTTGGCCTCATTGATTTTTTATTCAATGTGATTCAGGCACAAGCGAGTAATACGATATCTACGAGAGACATTTTTTTTAAAGATGTCTTTAAATATAAGAATGAATAAATGGGCTCCAAAATTGACAATCATCTTTCAGCTGACTATTTGGAGTATCATTGGAATTATACTTCTACAAAAAGGTGTAATCTCCTTATGTGAAAAGACAAAAGTACGAAATGACACAGTTAGTAAACAGGTTCGACATTCTAATCGATTCTGAATATACGATACTATATAATATTTATATATATATATTAAATAATAATGTATATAATATATATATATATATATATATATATTAAATATATATAATTAAATTATTGACAAATAATTGAATTATTAATACAAAGTTTTGGCAATATTTTTATAAATAAGTAATTTTTTTAATGAAGTAAATATTTAATAATTTAAATTTTAATAATAATAGTGAATTGTAATTAATTCATTATATATAAACAACGTATGTATTTGAATATTTAATTTAATATTTTTGATTTATGTTTTTTAAAAATTTATACTTTTAAAAAATATATACTTTTAAAAAAAAATATCAAATTAAGAAAATATTCGAGAATACTATTTTCACAGGAAAAGTTAACAAGATGGAATGAAGGTGAATTATTTAAAGAATTAAATATTACAAAAAATCGTTTTAAAATAGTAAAATTTCAAATAGACACTCAACGAGAAAACATCACTATTGATAAGCCTAAGAATATTACATCGAATAAACAGTGGCATATCAGCAATGGAATATTTAAAACGATTTCAACGATCAAAAAACGAACAACAATTCGACATGAACACGATACTAGAAATCTACATTCAATTCAATCTTCAACAATTTATTCAAGTAACAAAAATGAAGTAGAGAAAATAAAGCACAAAGCGAATATTATTATTCCACTTACTTCTAATGAAAATCCTTATGAGACAGAAAACAGTAAAATGAATGATAGTATGTCAAGTGTTTCATTTGAATTCAAAGACTTTGGTACTACTAATTTAATCAGGTTGAATGAAAAAAATTTTTTTGAACACGAAAACAATGAAATGTCTGATAAAAATATAGGAAACAATAAAAGTGAAGTCAAATCGCGACGATCACACGTAAATCGAGTCGGAACGGCTATTGCTATACTCATGCTTGCAATCGGTATTATCATGTTACTTTTAGGACCACTCATAGTTATCATACGTACTTTTAATCATAGAAGACGGACCAGAGAAATGTTAAAATCAAAATGTTATAACGATCAGCCACCAACTTACGAAGAAGCAACATTAATGGATCAAGCACCAAGATATTCGACGCTCCAATTGGATACAATACTTGATTCTTCTTCTTTTTAATCACTTTGATCTAGTTTTTCTTTCTTTTTTTAATACTCTTGATATTTTTATTACATTTTCTGTCAAATTCTTTTTATATATTTCTGTTACTATTTTTAAAATTTTTTTATTATTTTACTTTTTTTTGTTGTTTCATAATGATAAAAATTTCTAATTTAAGCAAATAACATTTTATCTTGTAATTGTACGTACTTAAATTAAAGACTATATATATATATATATATTACGATATAATTCTCAACAAGGCGTACATGCAATATCATTTTTTCCTTTTTTCCAATATCATTAGTTATTTTTATTTTTAAAAGTATTAATATTTCAAATTTTAAACTTACAAACAAATAAATAAAGAACAAAATATGATGAAGTGGAACAAAATAAAATGGAATGAAGCGAAATCACGACAGAATATAACAGAACGGAACGAAACGGAATGAAACAATTTAGTAATTCGAACCAAGATGGTACTGGAAAGTACGATGATATGGTAAGCTCTAGATATTTATTTATTATAAATCTATAAAATTCATCATATTTTTCATTTTATAAATTTATGTTTTCTAAATATTCATTAAATCACATAATGAAATTTCATTTTTTCTGATGATACGAATATTTTGTTAACATAAATGTTATCTCTCTGAGTGACAGTGCAAAGTTGAAATATTCATGATTAACATTTTTTTGTAAATAAAATTTGATGATTATAATTTGATTTAGTATAAAATTATGTATAAGATATTTAATAAATGATAAGTGTTAACTGAATTACAATTTAAATATTTTTGTTTTTATAAACTAATCAAATAAAGGTTATGTGAATTAAAATAAGTTTCTTACAAATTTATTCATGACAAACATTTATTATTTTCTTTATATATTTTTGAATATTTACAGTGTTGACAACAGCGATTATATGAGAAATGGAGATTTTTTACCAACACGACTGCAAGCACAACAAGATGCTGTTAATTTAGTTTGTCATTCAAAAACACGATCGAATCCCGAAAATAATGTTGGTTTGATAACACTAGCTAAGTAAGTCAATTCATATATTCCGTGCCAGAAATAAAAAGTATTTGTTATTTTTTTCATTTAATCGTTATTATTTTAAATAGTGTTGAAGTATTAGCTACACTTACTAGTGACGTAGGCAGAATTTTATCAAAACTTCATCAAGTCCAACCAAATGGTAACCTAAGTTTAATTACAGGAATACGCATTGCACATGTAAATATATTGATTAATTGTAATTTATGTATATAATTTTTATAAATTATAAAAAATTATAATTATAATGTTTATTAACAGTTAGCATTGAAACATCGTCAAGGTAAAAATCATAAAATGCGTATTGTGGCTTTTATTGGTAGTCCTATAGAAATTGATGAGAAAGAACTTGTAAAATTAGCAAAAAGATTAAAAAAAGAGAAAGTTAATGTAGATGTGATTAGTTTTGGTGAAGAAAGCATTAACAATGAAGTGTTAACAGCTTTTATCAATGCTCTTAATGGAAAAGATGGAACAGGCAGTCATTTAGTCACAGTTCCACCTGGGCCACATTTATCTGATGCATTGATTTCTTCTCCTATTATTCAAGGAGAAGATGGAATGGGTGGTACAGGTATGGGAGGGTCTGCTTATGAATTTGGTGTTGATCCAAATGAAGACCCAGAATTGGCATTGGTTTGTATTTTATATTTATTTTTTTAATAAAATTTCAACTTTTTTAATTTATTTATATGGACACATTTTACAATTTTTACTTTATTTATGTAGGCATTACGTGTTTCTATGGAAGAGCAACGTCAGCGTCAAGAAGATGAAGCACGTCGTGCACAAGCTAATGAAGCAGCTACAAATAAACCACCAGAAACGATTAAAGAAGTGCATAATGAAGAAGCAATGTTAAAGCGTGCTCTTGCTATGTCACTTGAGGGTGCAGAAACATCATCATCAACAGCTGATAATACTGTTCCTGCTAACATAAATGCACCTGATTTTGCACGCATGACCGAGGAAGAACAAATTGCTTTTGCTATGCAGATGTCTATGCAAGATCAACGTAAGATTCAGATATATATATATATATGTAAGTTTACATGTATGTATGTATACTATTGTTATTTTTTTATTTTATAGAAGAACTTGAATCTCTAAAAGAAGAAGCAATGGAAGTTGAAGAAGATTATGCTGCTGTAATGTCTGATCCAGCATTCTTACAATCTGTTTTGGAAAATTTACCAGGTGTTGATCCTCATTCAGAAGCTGTTCGTCAAGCCGTTGGATCTCTTCAACAAAACAAGGATAAGGACAAAGAAAAAGAGAAAGAAAAGGACAAAGATAAGGACAAAGATAAGGACAAAGATAAAGACAAGGAAAAAAAATAAATTTGTGCTCATTAAATATTCTTTATATTAATCAATGTTCTTTGAATATCTTATACCAAATATAAGTTCGAATTTTTCAGAACTTTATTTAACATTTTTTTTTTATGCTTTTATGTTATATGTGCTTGTAAGTTTTTGAAATCATTCTTCCATATGATTATTATATGATTTCTCTTCAATTCTCCTGTCTGCATTTTTTTTTTAATTTTTATATAATGATCGAAAAACCGTTACCGTTCAAAAACATCAATGAAACTTCAAAATGGCGCCACGTAGAAAAAGTATTGGATCGTTACGCGGTTCTTTAAATGATAGTTTAGATAAAGAAAATAATTATTTGCGTTCATTAAGTGATTATCAAGCACGAGTTCGAAGGCGAGAAAGTATTCGAAATTATAAAAATGTAGCGGTAAGTAAATTTTTTGATTGATAAATTAATTAATAAAATTTAATCAGTATATATTTTTTTTAAAAATTTATATAATTTATTTTTTTTTTTTAAATAGAAATTATATTCTTATTTTAATATTTAAAAAATCTATTATTTAAATTTTTAGATATCATTTAAAAATATTTAATTATGATTAATAAAACAAAATTAGGTTATGTTTTTCATTCGAAAAAGATTATTAAATTATCAATATATATATATAAGTTAAAATTTACAAATTAAATTATTTTAAATACTTTTGTATCAAAATACTTTTGTATTAAAATCTTTTGTATAACTAATTTTATCATTAATTTTGTGTAAATTGCCTAGTTTCTCGCAATCAATTAAAATCGTATCAAACAATTATATTTATCGGAAATCTAACTGAAAATATTCTTCATTTGATTCATATCTTTTTTATATGAAATAATAATTTTAACAATAGAAATTATTTTTATAAATGAAAAATTTATTTTATAAAAAAAAAGCATTTTTTTGGAAAAATATGATTTATTGTAGGAATATGACTTAGAACAAAAAATTGAACTAGAAACTAAAATCAAAGAAGGATCCTCTAGATTATTAGCTGCTGCGCGGCATCCTGCACAAAGTTTAGAAGCAGCACGTGCTTTGTTAACTTCAAGCAAAAGAATGTCTGCTTATATGGTTGAATTAGAACATCAGAAAAAAGATGTATCATTGAAAACAAGGTATATTATTAATCTGTTATATTAATCAAATTATATTAATTTTATATATATATATATATATTAAATATATTTACAACAATACATTTAATGCAAATAAAAATATCCTTTATCATTGTTATATGATTGTTATATGTTTCAGCACTTTTAATAGTAAGGGGAAACTGTCAATTTCAGATCTTAGATTTCCTTTAATGTGGAGAGATACTGATCATTTTAAAAATCGAGGAGATTATCGAAGATTTGCAATTTTTTGTATAGTCCGAGTTGGTGCAGAAGTTCATGATACAAATTTACTTTTTCCCATTGATAGGAAACAAACTGATATTAGTTTTCCTGATATTTTATTGTTCAATAATGTACCACCTGAATTTGAATTATCTTTAGAAGTTTATAGTCATATCTTGCAAGAAGATCTTAGTATTGCTAGTACTCCAAGAAAAATCAGAAAAACAATTCATTCTTCAATTTCAAAAACTGTAGGTAGAAAGTTCGCGGCAGTTTTACGAGATGAATATGAGTTTAACAAAGTACCACAATTTGAATTGATGGCTTATGCAAAAATGACTCTTGATGATAGCAATAAAAATATACGTTCACATGATCTAACATTAAATAATTTTGGGAATAAAATTCAAATATTGCCGCTTTTTGGACATTTTTGTTGTCGCTTAGCTATTCAACCATATTATATGAATAAAGAAATTTGCGCTGGATTTGCAATTGTAAATAATCAACGATGTTGGATACGATTACAAAATTTTCAAATTGATAGTTGGAAATCAAAGAAATGTATAGAAAAATTAGAACCTATATATACGATTTGTATGACCAAGGTAAAATAATATATATATTAAAATTTATTTATTCAATTTTTCGATACTATCGAATATGATCGATACTATATTATAATATTTATATTTCAGGAAACTATTATCCGCCGACCAAAATCAATAAAAAATCAATTACGAATAATTAATTATATAACTGATAATGAAAAGCGCGATGTTATAGAATTATATTCAAGTGAAGATGCTCAAAAATGGTTTGAACAATTAACAATATGTATTCAAGAACATGCTAGATGGAAACATGCAGTGATAACACCTCAACAAGTTCCAAATTTTGAATATCTAAATGAAAATACAAATATAAAAAATTTTTTCAATAATATAAACAAACGACAAAAATCTCTTTATGACGAAACTTCATTACTAGATAATATTTGTAAAGAAGTAAACATATTTCAATCTAAATAAAAAAAATAAATAATATTTTGTTTTAATTTTAAATATATTTATATTTATTAGATGTTAAAAATTATAATTAATAAAAGCTGTGATTAAGATAATTAAAAAATAAAAAAGTATCAAAATAGTTACAATTATTAGAAATTATACTTTTTCATAAAATCATTTCTTTCAATCATTTCTATTTTTTAAATTATTTAAATTTATTATCAAATATTATAATGCATTATTAATGATACATTTTTGCATTTTAAAATTTATTCAATTCTTATTCAATTCATTAAAATCTTATGAACATTTTTTTAATGAAATTCATCATAGATATTTATATAATATGAAATGTTAATATTCAAATAGTTTTAATGTTAATTTATAAAACATATTTATTATAAGTTTTTCTATTAAATTAGATTATAAGTAAAAATTAAAATAAAATCTACAGTTGAATATACAATTATATATATAACGATATTTATCATTCAATAGGATTTAATTGGACTAATTAATACTTGACTATTTAATTAAATAAATAAATAAATGACAAGATATTAATTATTTTTTCTTGTTATAATAATCCAACCACCAATGATAGCTATAAGAGTGAAACTTTGTGCTCCAACTCGAGCACGCATCATTAATTGAGACATTTTAGTATTTCCCATATAAAAAGAGTATAAACCATAAGAGAGAGCACTTGTAGTTGCCAAAATACCTAAAATAATTTTATTAAAAAATTATTTATTAAAAAAATAGAATTTAAAATGTTTTATTTATATATAAAATAGTATATCATAAATAGAGGTTATATTTACCAAGAGGTATTATCGGATTTTCTCTTACTTTACGTATCATTTTTTCTTTAAGTGATTCAATTTTATAATTATCATTCAATTTAGTACGTACACTAATCCAATCTAATTCTTTTAACTTTTCTGGATCTTCTGTATGTGGCGACATTATTTATTATTATAATAGTATAGAATATAAAAAAATGTGTGAATTTGATAGAATAATAAAATTTAAATTAAATTACTCCTTAAAATTATTTTTGAAAAAAGATCAATTGTGACAATATTTTGGACAATTGACAAATTTTAATTAAACATGCCTATTCAAATAAAATATATATGATATAAGTATTTCATAACATATATAGTACATATAATAGTATATATAATATAACATGAGTTCATAAAATATACGTTTAAGCAAAGTACTTATTTATATGTGTGTCAATTTGGAATTTCTTTCACCAATATAATATTCATATTTTTATAACGTTTTAATTCATTTTTTTGTTTGTTTTATTTTGTTTGTTTAGCTATTTTGGATTATTAAATTTGTTTAAATAATAAATAATCAATATTCGAAACAGAATATGAATGTGCGTGATACTGTGGAAGAATTAACGCAAATAGGCATAGAAATACGTGGAAGTTTGGAATTATTGCTTGACAAAAAAGAACAAAAGGAATTAGTATTACGGCATATTAAACTATTTTCAAATAAAAATACGCAGATCGCTGATTTTCAAACAGGTTAATAATTTTATATTTGTTTTATTATTATAATAATAAAATAATAAAAATTTAGTATATATTTAATTATATATATAGAAAAATTATTATAATTAATAAATATAGATTGTATTAGAGTTGCACAAGTTAGTGTTTCAATTTACATGAAACTGATTATGATATTGATTATTTATGATCTATAGTTTCTAAATTTTGAAGATAATTCTGTATTTTGTATATTTGTATAAAGTTTTATATTATTATATTATTATATAGATGAATATATAGATTTTATTTAAATTCATATTAACTTTCGATATTTTTCTTTTCGAACGTTTAAGAATTTTAATGACTGCTTTTCGTTAGGCAAAAGATATTGTATGTAACGATTCATGTTACACAACGAAATGTTTAAAAAATCCAAGGAACAAAATATGAAGAATATTAGGAGGCTAACTACAGCAAGTTCAAATCAACCATTGTGTTCGAATGATAAAGAAAATATTTTACTTACAGAAGAAGAAATACGCGAATATTTCAAATTAATAGAACACGAAAAAATTCTCGATCAAGAATTGACCAATTTAAAAATTGAAGAAACAGAATTTCGTTCAATTCAAGAAACTATGGATTTATTACACAAATACAATGAAATTAAAGATGTAACTCAAATGATTTTAGGAGCAATAGCTGTATTAAATAAAACTACCATCAAGAATTTGTATGATCAATATGATTTATCATTGGAAGATGATTAAATTTAATTTATTCTTTTCATATATATTTTATATGTATTATTTTCATTTTTCCATTCTTTATATAATTTATTTTTACTCTATCCTAAAATTTAATAGTCATACGTCATTTAATTATATAATATAAATATCATAAAAATCATAAAAGTTGCAATTTTTGTGAATTTGATAATCAATCTTCAAAGAAATTTGTTTATAAATATGATAGGTTTGGAATGGTTCAATGTCACAGAGGAATTATCTTTATATCGACATCTCAATGGGAAGATTATTATTTTGGATTTCTTTACATATTGTTGCATCAATTGTATGCACATTTTACCAGATTTAGATGATCTTGAAAAAAGATTTCCAATTACTGATGGCCTTGTTATTGTTAGTATATACAAAATATATAATTCGTATTATATAATATTATATAATATATATTGTATTATATAATATTAATCAATTAAAATTAATAATTACATATCATAATATTATTACTTTTTTCTAGATTGGAGTACACAGTGCAAAATTTTCAAATGAACGAGATTCAAAGAGACTTTTGTCAGCAATTCAGAGATACAATATAAAACATCCAGTTGTAAATGACAAAACATTATCAGCATGGCATAATTTAGGAATCTCATGTTGGCCAACATTAATAATGATAGGTAAGTGTTGTATATTTATTATTATGATGTATATTTATCTGACTTATATAATAATTATATCATTATACTTATATAGTAATTGTATATATATAAGTATATTATTATCTTCAAAAACCTCCATGTAAAAAATTTATATATTATAGGTCCTATTGGAGAATTATTGGCTGTTTTTGTAGGAGAAGGACACAGAAATGAATTGATTCTATTTGTAGAAGTAGCATTAACTTATTTTAAATCATTAAATAAAATATCTAAAAATGATCTTCCTTTGCAATTGGAATGTCATTTATTGGCTACTGTGGATAATAAAAATCTTTTATTCCCTAGTAAGTTGGAGATTTTTCAGAATGAGCAAGGAGAAAATTTGATCATAGCTGATACTGGCAACAATAGAATCTTAATAATGGACACTAAAGGAAATATACAATACATTATTGGTGGTTCTAATCCTGGTTTCAAAGATGGTAATTTTGAAAATGCAAGATTTAATGCACCTCAGGGAGTGTGTATATTAGATAGTTTTATTTACGTTGCCGATAATGAGAATCACGCAATTAGAAAAGTAATATTTTATCATTAAATTCTACACATATCTATATACCTTTTAAAATAATATAGATAAAATTAAAATATTTTTTAGATAGATTTGATAAAAAAAATAGTAACTACTGTTGTTGGTACGGGTATTCAAGGTCATGATTATATTGGAGGTAAAATCGGTAAAGATCAAATTTTATCTTCACCGTGGGACTTAGCTATTTATAATTATGAATGTAATAAAAATACTATACCCATATTATTGATCGCAATGGCTGGTACTCATCAGATTTGGGCGCTTTTTTTAGAAGATACTATTTGGTGGAAAAAAAGGTACATAAAATTTATTCTAACATTTATAAAAGATCTATAGAATAATATTTCATTTTAAATTTTTTCAATAGAGAATACAAAGCGGGTACTTGTATTGCTATAGTAGGAAGTGGCAGAGAAGAAAATCGTAATAATTTGTATCCTCATGCAGCTGGTTTAGCACAACCGTCTGGTTTAACTGTAATCAAAGAACGAAAAATTGCATTTTTTGCTGATAGTGAAAGTAGTGCTATCAGAAGCATAGATTTAGAAAGTGGACAAGTTTCGGTCGTTTGTGGTGCAAACAGAAATCCCGTAGTATGTTTTAATATATATAAATAAATTTAAATAAATAATAAAAAACTTCAAAAAATTAAGAAATATAGATTTTAAAAATTTTATTGTAATTAATCGATAAATAATTAGTAGTATATATTCAATGTATGTTTTATTTAACATGGAATATTGTGATATCGCAGGATTTACACGATTATGGAGACTTTGATGGTATAAAATATGCAGCTAAGCTTCAACATCCTTTAGGTATAGCTTGGCACTCAAAAGAAAATGCTGTTTATATAACTGATACATATAATCACAAAATTAAGAAAATTGATGTAACCACTCAGTATTGTAAAACTATATATGGTGATGGAAAACCAAATGAGAAATTTTCAGTATGTTATATTTAGAAAATATTTATATTTATTAATTTAATCAATATGTGATTATAAATTTCTTATATAACTCTTTTATAATTTATAGTTCGATGAACCTAGCGGTATTGCTATCAATTCTGAAAAAGATCTCTTATATGTGGCTGATACTAATAATCATGTAGTAAAGGTTATCGACATGAAAAAGGAAAATATTATTACGGTAAATTATTATGCTTTTATTCTATAGATATTGAAAAACATATAGATATTTATAGGTATAATATTCATTGTTATATTACAGTTACCGATAAACATTTCGACGATTGAAATAAACAACAGTTCTAAAAATATTTATTTTTTCGATACCACAGTTAACGAGAAAGGTGCCGAATTAAACATTTCATTTAACATAATATTTTTTGAACGTGATTTAAAATTAAATTTAGATGCACCACAAAGATGGACTTTGAATTTGCCTATAAATAATTCTGGATGGATAGCTAGAGCAAGAAATGGAGAACTTTCAAATCCTATATCAATAAAGATTCCCGAAGGAAAAGAAACACAAGAGATGTGCGTGATTTTGGATATTATTGCTTGCAAAACAACCGAGTGCGTATCAAAAAAATTGTTAGTAACATATCGTATACATCAAGAAGCACATGCTTGTAATATTGTAACCGAACAAAAACAACTTATTGTTAAATAATAAACATTCTTATTTTCATTTCTTTATCTTTCTTATATATTAAATAGATAGAGAATTAAATTTAATTATAATTAAATATATTAATTTGTTGCAGAAACGGAAAAGTATTAAATATTTATTTACAACAAGAATAAAATATCATTAAATTTTTAAATTGTATTGTATTTTTTTTCTATATCCGTTTCAATTAAATGGATTTCAATGGGATTTTTATCTTCTTTAACGCTTGATGTTTTATCTTTGCATGAACAATAGGATTTTTTTCGTTCGTAGGTAGAATCTTGACTAAAAGTAGTTAATCTTAAAAAAAATAAGAATAGAAATAATTAAAATGAATATTTTCAATTATTTAATAATTGAATATCCTTATTTGTACCTCTTCCACCAGGATTCAAAAGAATTATTTGAAAATGGTAATAATGTAGAAGGAACCTTCTTGTAATATTTATAGAAAGCTTTTATATTTTTTCCAGTTGGTTCAGACCATGCCTTTTGACAATTCTTTTTTATCCACTTAGTGAATTTGATATTTGGTATCTCAATTATCTTCGAATATTTTCAGAATTATTATATATTATATTATGACAGATATTTTTATTTGAATGTATATACCTTTTTCAAGTCTGAATAGCAAATAATAGTATGCTGAGATGGGTTAAAAATTCCGATGCCTGCATCGTAACACTTAGGAGGAATAATAAATTCGTCTTGACTATTCGTGCGTAAAGTTGATCCAGCAGGTTTCAATCCATATTTATGACACAGTTGGTATCTAATGGACTTGAATTTAATGAAAGTAAAATTCTATCTCTAATTTTTTTTAATGATATAACTTTTTTTTAATGATATAATTTTTTAGTGATATAAACTTTATAGGATAAAATGATGATTTAACTTTCAGTATTTCAATTTTAAAATTATTTTTAAAAGTACAATGTGTTTACTAACCGTCTATCAGGAAATTTGCAATACTTCCAATCAGTTTCAAGAAAATTTAATCCATCGTTAAAAACGTATTGCTTGTCTCTACATTCACCTTGTATCCAAATTCCATCCATTCTTTGCCCACAAGGCCAATATAGACTACCATAGCCATGAAACGTATTATCGCGAAATTCTCCTTCAAAGATAGCATCTATTACAGTAATAATTTCATTATTATTATTACAATAAATAGATTCGGGTCATTTAACGAAACGAAGAAGATCAGAAGAAAGAGATCAAAAGATTTAGCGATAGAAAAAAATAAATGGAAGAAAAAAAGTGCGTGCGTGCGTATGCATATTTATAAAATTTATAATGTAGTGAATGCATATATTTTAAGACTAAGATACTTGAGTTATAGGTAAATGAAAAACATATACGAACTCTAGAACATGAAGCGACGAAAATGGTCGCATAACGGTACGCGTCGACTTACGCGCGAGAAATGCTCAATGTTGTACTCAAAAACCAGTATATATGCTATACATATGTACATATCTTAGACACAATTATTGGCGTTAACTTGTACATTTTACAAAATGTAATTCCAAGTTTTAAAAGATTTAACGTTCATTGTATTTCAATTATGAATATTTTTCTATCATATTTTTTTTATTTACAATTTACTTATTTCTTGTTTCTTATTATAATTATTTTGTACTTTTGTACTGCTTTTTTCTCCTCCTTCTTTTTTCAAACAATTCAAGCAAGGTGTAAAGAAATACGCATTCGAGATTATTCTGTAACATTTCTGTAACATCTTGATAAAGAGTAATATATACTAACTGTGCGGCATGATGAATTTACCGACTCCTTCCATGCCAAATGTGGTCCAAGTACCCTTATATTCGCTTCCATCGATAAAACGCGATTCTTCTAAGTTCTTGAATCTTGCGTACATGTTGTATCTTTAAATTTAACATTTTTATTGATCATATGATCATTCCAAATTATTCATATATCAAATAATATAATATTAATATAAATAGAAATACTAAAAAAAAAAAAAACACCAGAATAATATAATGTGTTTAATTATATCCAGATAACATTGAATCTTACGTAAAGTATTACATTTATTTATAAATTAATTAAAACATATTTATTTTTTATTAAAATTTAATAATTAAAAAAAATATGGAATTGCATCAATTATATATATTTTTACAAAAAATTGAATTCAAAAAAGATGTTAATATAATAAGCAAGGGTATTGTTAAAATTGCGAAATTATTTATTTTTAATATAAATACTTTAATAATTATTATTATTCATAAATGTTAATAAATAATAACAGGTTAATATCAATTTTTATTTCTTAATTAAAATAATTTTTAAACATTATTACCGTTATTATCAGTTATTGTCGATAGATCGATTAAATATGTTGTAATATTAATTGATAATAAACAGCCAAGAGATGATATGATTTAAAATTTAAAAAAATTTCATATAAACGATTTATTATTGTTTAAATTTTTGTTTGAAATTAATGCGTGTCATTTTTTTCTCACGATACTTGTTGCGATTTTTGGACGGAGGTCAAGTTGGCCGAATATTTCTTAAAACAGTTGAAGAACAGTGTGGAAAGAAAAGTAGAATAAACGAATACCGTTAAGCGTCCGTCAGTGTTCCTCATCGTAGATAGAAATGAGATATATATATATATAAGTATACATATTTATAAAAACAAATTAGTTTAAATCTTTGATCGTACTTATAAATGCATAAAAATATTGCGAATAAAAAAAGAGAAAGAGAAAAGAAAAAAAGTTACGTTTATGCACAATTCAAATAATTTTTACAAAATTTTTTACGTTATAAATTACCATCGCGAAGACAATTTATTCAATCGATATACCGTTATCAATTATTCTTAATTTCTTAGACAAAATATACTAATATATCATACTATTTGATTTCACTATTAATTTTTTATTTATCATCAAATTTTATATTTGTCGATATTAATAAATACTTTGTAATCGTAATGTAATAAAATATCATAAGAAAAATTGAAAAAAATGTTAAAAAATAATTTTACGCCAACAATACGCCAAAAACAATTATTTTTACTCGTCTCATAGTTTCCTATCGTTAAAAAAATGCATAGTCCACAGATTCGAAGTACTATTTCGATCTTTTATTCGATTTATATTTTCTATTATCCGTGTAACTCAACTCTTGGTCCTTCGACCTCATACTATCCCTTCTTCTTTTCTCTCCCTTCCTTTTTCTTTCGATATACATATATTCCCGTGTAGTATCCCGACATTCGTCTGTCCCCCCGCGTAAACCGTTCCGAGCAACATCTCGACTCTCCAAGTTCACCCTTTCTCCATCTTTTCGTTCGAAGACTATGTTCCCCCTCTTCGATGACTTTTCTTTCTCAGTCCGATGCACTCGTCTTAACCAAGGATTCAAGCACGTAGTACGCGCTTGTCCAAGGTAGAAGACACAGTAGACACGACAGGTGATACGGGAAGAAATACAGATCGGCGCGCGCTGTCAGAAGATACGTAAAAAAAACGAGAGAAGCGTAGAGAGCGAGAAAAGGAAGGAGGAAAAGTCGAACGCTCTCATGGTGTTTATCTTCGGGAAAAGTATTAATTTGATCACTTTTTAATCGAGGTAGTTAACTATTGTCTCGACATTTGACCGGCTTCGCTATTTTTTGCTGAAAATGTTGTTCCCTGTTCTTTAAACATTGCATACACACAGTATCATCATAGTACACGAAAAAAATTAATAAATGTAATGGATGTTGTTAATTAAGGAAGAAAAATAGTAGATTAAAAGGATTAAAAGAATAAAAAAAAAAAAAAAAAATAAAAGAATGCATTAATAATGTATAAAATAATATTGAAATATCTCTATTGAAAAAAAGAAATAATAATTTCTTTTCTTCTTTCTGCAAAATATATTTTCAAGGCAGTTGAATTTTCTATGCTGCATCTTTCCTCGTAATTTCATCGCGTAATTCTTTCTGCATTCTGTTATGTCGGTGCCGGTGTACTCGATATTTCAAAAAAATCTATGTACATACGTATCAATTTTATGCGAACGAAAATGTTTCTATTCTAGAAATTGTATTCTAGAAATTGTATCAATACAACGATGTTGATTAAATTCAATATAATAATCAATTAAAATATCTTTTACAATTTTTACAATTTTCAATCTTCACCATTTCATTTCGAAGAAATTCGTTCATCACTTGCACTCGTGTAAATCGCATTTACCCAGCGATTTGTAATACGATGGAAAACCGGTCGTCGTGTTAAGGCAATGATCCGTAAGGGGGTAACAAGGAACCGAAGGGTCGTTCACCTAAAGCAAATTAAATTCTCCCATTTATTTCTTTCGAATTATTTTCCTACATTTACAATATATATATATATTTACAATATATATACAATACATGATATATATATCATATATATATATATATATATATCAACAACAATGCATATGTAATATATATATATATATATATATTGATTTTAAATTTTTTTACAATTTTTTAAATTACTCGTACATTTTTCAAACTTTTTAATTTTTACTTGCAGATCGTAGGACGAGAGGAGGAGGATAAGTTCAAAGTATGTCCCCGGAATCGTGTCATGGAATTTTGACGACACTCGTGCTATGGACATGTTTAAGTTTCAGCGTGGGTTCTCCACTTCCAGAAACAACCGCTACCGTATTGTTGCCTATGAAATTTGGGTCAGTATATCGTTTCACACACGAAACGTGTTCTCAGCGTTCGCATACTGAGAATTATTCGCTTCGAAGAATACTGAACGCAACATAATAAAACGGAATTGCAATTCTAATTTAAGTCGGCTCGATTCCTCTTAGAAATTGCATCACGTGCTCACAAGCTGTTCGCAATTTTTAGCGCGGCCAGATCGATATCGGGTTTGAAAGAATCGAAAGATGGGAAGAACGAGGTGCTTCGTGAACCTATGGGAAACGTGAACAGATCACCGGCATCGATCGGCGCCAATCTCTACCGATTGCCACCCTCCCCTGCTAATTTGTTGAAACCCGACGGATTTCAATTTTACACGTACAACGAGAAAGGAGATATGATCACGAGGCAAATGACGATGCAAGAGATTCAATCGTTGATCGCGAGTGGGGGCCCAGATCATTCTAACGTGGAGATTCAAGAGCCCCAGAAAGCTGAGGATATCCTTACGGGAGGGAAGAAGGTCGGTTAATTATTTTCGATGATTAACAAAGAATAAAAATTAAGAGACGAGTGACGCAAAATCGTGACTTTCTCCTACGTCTATGAATAATGTAACGTTATAATCATTACTTGGAAATTATTTTTCAGGTAATGGATGTCGTGGAAAAGGTGCAAAGCGTACTGAAAAGCGCCATGGATAAACCATTATCGACCCTCACTGGTTCTCATCCGGTCATCCCAGAAAAGGTGAACGTCGAGTGGAGCAATATTTTACCCGCCATATTGGCTGGTGACAAGTATGGAAATAAGGTGGAGGAAAGTCATTACGCCGAGAGGCCAACATCGAGGCCAACGCCATCCGTGTATCATGTTATCCGCAATGAATCGTCTTCGGTCTCGTCGAAGTCTAATACGACGATCGAAGTTGCGTCGTCGGTAGGACACGAGGATGTTAAGCACGTTGAAGAGGCGATCGTTAAAAATGAAAAAAATAAAACGCAACAGGGCCAGTCAACGGCGATCAAACCGACAACAGAAATCTCTTATACAGAGAAATTAATGATACCCGTGTCCGTGATCACGACCGAACAAGATGCCGATCTGATCTCTCGGTATACCACCGCTCAGACCCCCGCTCTCCATAAGTTGACTGAAATTATGCCGCCGTTGGAAGAAAAGATCGAAAATGACGAAGAGAATTTGGCGTCTGTGAATACTGTAATTGTTACAAAGTCAACGACGATCAGCGCCTCGCCTTCATTTTCTTCCGAATCCATTAAAAATGATTACCACGATTCTACGAATGAAGCGTTAGATTCGAAAAACGATTCCTCGATTATCGACGGAGTTACCGATAGTATCGATTTGCTGGCAACGAAGACGAAAATAAAACCGATAAGCGACATTCCATCGAAGATGGGAACACCGTCTATGAATCAAGTTCAAACATCGATCGCGAACGAACCTTTCACTACGTTGCCGTCGGATTCTTCTTCTTTCGCTGGTACGAACAGATACAACGAAACGAATTCGCAATCGACAGAATCGTCGATTGTACAGGAGACGATGATAACGAAACCGACGACGACCGATCATACAATCGACGAATCGATTCAATCTACAGAAATATTAGACTCGTTGTCAAATATAATCGGTCAAATCTTCGAAAGGATTCCTTCTTCGTCACCTTCGTCCTCCGACGACGAATTCGAATCGATTTCTGATGAGAAGGAGATGTGCAACGACCCTTTCAAATGTACCACATCTACCGTCGCTCAGAGAACGACACATCCATCAGTTATCGGCGAAGATTCGAAAGATGGAAATAATACGTTCGAGGAACGTGTTCAAGAAACGACGGTAATGACGACGTTAAAAATCGATGAAGAAAATGTTTCGTCCCCTTCGATCGTATCGACGAATACGACGGATTTACAGATGACCGATGATTTCGATATCGTGACGAAATCCGACATTATACAAACCATCACTCCCAATGTTCACTCAGACAATTCAAATATTACGAAATCGACGATGAACGAGAGCACAGCAGCCGATTTTAATCCCCTGCGACCTGTCGAGATTATCGAGAGTATACTTCACACCGCTCCGACCGAAACGAGTAAAATCGTGACCGAGTCGCTTACTTTGCCGAACGATTTGACGGAGAATCTGTTACCTAACACTGTAGCCAGCGCGCTTAT